AAGACTTCTTGGTTTCCTCTTTGTCCTTTCTCTTGTATTGCTAAGTTGATAGAAAATCATGTCCTTTTTTTTTTTTTTCTGGAGGAGGGAAGGTTCGGCCATACCCAGCATGCTCAGTGATTTCTCCTGGCTGTGTGCTCAGGAATCACTCCTGGTTGAATTGTGGGAACCATATGGGGTGCAAGGGGTCCAACCAGGGTACTGTGTGAGACTCAACCAGGATAAGCATTTAAATCCTTGTTCTATCTCTCCAGTCTTAGAAATAATGACTTTGTGACATTCAATAAACTTTTTGAAGAGGCTGATCTAGTTGAAAATTAAGACCGCTTGTCAACAGCCAGCAATAAACTGAGATTTCCTGATAGCAATCAGTGAGAACCTGAGGCTTCTAACAAAAGCCCTGTGAGTGAACCACCTTCAGATAGATCACTCAGTCTCCATCAGACTTCTGTGACTACACCCATAGCCCATATCTTGACCCATTTGAGAATCAAAATTACTAGAATTAAATACTAGAATCAAAACTACCCAGCTCAGCCCTCCTGAAGTCCTGACCAACAGAAATTCAAGGAAAGTAATGAAGCTTACTCAAAAAACAAACCGAACAAGCAAAAAACAATTAAAAAAAAACCCCTCAAGACTAAATAGCCCTATAACTTAGATAAATTGAATTGGTAAAACTCTTAGGAGACAGAAATGTAGATCTGAGGTATTGCGCATACTTTACATATGAGGCTCTATGTTCAATCCCTGGCACCAAAATACCAAACCAAATATACAAACCCCTCCAGCAAAGAAAAATCCAGGTCTAAATGAACCCACTGTTGAATTCTTTATTTGTTGTCTTTTTTTTTTCCCTGAGGGAAGGGGTCACACCTGGAAGTGCCCAGGGCTTACTCCTGGTCTTTCACTCAGAAATTACTACTGACGTTGCTCAGGGTGACCATATGGGATCCTGGGAATCGAATAATCCAGGTCAGCCATGTACAAGGCAAGTACCCTACCCGCTGTACTCTCTCCAGACCCACACAGTTGAATTCTATCAAACATTCAAGGAAGAACACAATGCCTTCTTTTGGGTTTGTTGCTCCTTTCAAAATAATCTTTTCTAATTTGGCTGTTTTATACTTTTTTTCATCTTTGGTTATCAGCAGTTTACAATGTGAATTACATTGTGAATTCATTTGATTATTTATATTGTTTGTTGTTCCTAAGTGCTCTTGACTCTGGCTTGAAGTTTTCCCACAATTTTGTAGTTCAGCCATTATCTCTTAAAATGCTGCTCATTTCATTTTCTTTCTTCTCTCCTTCAGAGACCCCACTTTCCTACAAGGATCTTTCATCTCTCTTAACTGCTATATTTTCATTGTTTTATCTCACTGCATCATTTTGCATATTTTTTGCGGTGTTCACTCCTCTCTCTTCAGCTATGCTTATTTTAGTGTCAAATCTATCCATCAAGATTCTGTCATGGTAATCTTTAGATTTAGTATTCCTCTATTGTTTATATAAAAATTTCCTTTGGGGAGAGGGCATACCCAGCAATACTCAGGACTTACTCCTGGCTCTGAACTCAGGAATTACTCCTAGTGTTGCTCGGGGGACCATGTGGGACGCAGGGGATAAAATCGGGTTGGCTGTGTGCAAGGCAACTGCCCTACTCTCTGTACTACCACTCTAGCCCTGTTTTTCAACTTTTCCAAAATTCTCATGAATTTAGTTTATATCACAATACTCCAATATATGTAAGTCCTAAAGGTCTGTTTTGAATAAGAGCTCCTAGTGGGATTTGTTCATATTTTTTGTTGTTTTTTAATTGTGTGCTCTACAATGTACTTGCAAAACTGTTCACAGATTTATTTTGAAACCTACTGATTTAGCTTTCTGCTGCAACACAGAATCATTATCACAAATTTAGCATCTTAAACCGCACACATTTATTATCTCAAGGGTTTTCTGGGGCAGGAGTTTAAATACAGCTCAGCTGGGACTCGTGTGACAAGGCTGCAATCAGAGTATCAGTCCAAGTTAAGGTCTTAGCTGAGGTTCCATTAACAAAGGATCACTGGGGCCAAGTACACAACAGTGCAGTGGGTATGGCATTTGCCCTGCATGTGGCCGACCTGGGTTTGATTCTTGGAACCCTAAGTCACATGAGCCCTGCCAGAAGTACACTGAGCACCATTGATTGCTGAGCACCATCAGGTATGACCCAAAAACAATGAAAAAAAATCAATTTCCAAGTTCACACTGTGACAGAACTTAGTTCCTTGCAGACTGAGAGACCAGGAAAAAAATCTTAGAGCTGCTGGCCTTTGGTATTTTCTAGAGGTCATTTCCCGAAGCGGCAACTTGCTTCTTCAAAATCAATGAGAGACTTCCTAAACAAGACCTGTATCAGACCTGGTATAGCTATGTTCATATAGTCACATACATCCTATTATCTTTGCAGCATTAGATTACTTTATATATATATATCTCACACACAAACACACACAAAGACTATTAGGACACAGGAACAAGGGTTGCCATTGTAGAGTCTTATTACCATAGTGAGTATGTTAACTTCCTAAGAGAATTTACATTTGTTTCTACCAGTACTTATATTTATCTTCAGCTTGAGCTAGTCTGATGACTCTTTTTTGTTTTGTTTTGGAGCCATACTTGGGATTGCTTGGGGGTTACTCCTGGCTCTACTCTCAGAAATCACTTCTGGTGGTGCTCAGGGGACCCTACTGGATGACAGGATCAAATCAGGTTCGTCCTGTATAAAACAAGCACCCTACTGGTTATACTATCACTCTGATCTCTTTAGGCTCATTCTTATAGAAGACTATTTACATGGTCTACCATAATTTTACTTTAATCATTGTTTTTCCATAATTTGTTACTGGCCTCAATATGTACAGAAATAATCAACTATTTAAAAAATGTGCTTCAACTTAATATAACCTATTGAATAAAATTTATTTTTTCAACTTGGAAAAATTTTTCCTGTTAAATTGTGTTGAATATTTCTGGAGGTTTTGCATAATTAAAAAAATTCTAATTTTTTGGTGTTTCTGGTGATTGAACCCAAGCCCTCATATATGAGACATATGCTCTATCTCTGAGCTATATCCCTCATTCCCCTGATATATATATATATATATATAAAGCAATATATATATTTATATATATATTGCTTTTTGGGTCACACCCGGCAATGCACAGGGGTCACTACTGGCTCTGCGCTCAGGAATTACCCCTGGCGGTGCTCAGGGGACCATATGGGATGCTGGGAATCGAACCCAGGTCAGCCACGTGCAAGGCAAATGCCCTACCCGCTGTGCTATCGCTCCAGCCCCTCCCCTGATATTTTTATATAATAGAAACATGAGACTCAGATATTAAAGAGTCTAGAAATTAGCATGAAATTATATGCATTTGCATTTTGTAAATATCCTTGTCTCTTAAATGTCACATATCCTTATGAATTACATATTATATCATTCGAGACTGTCCTGCCAAGTAGAATTAAAACATGCATTCAACTACCAACTACCAAACTGGAAGTTAGAGTCTGTGATGCTAGTAAAAATTTTAAAAAGAACATTTAAATTTTCCTTTTTAAAAGTGAAGTTTAGGGGCTGGAGCGATAGCACAGCGGGTAGGGCGTTTGCTTTGCACGCAGCCAACATGACCGACACAGGTTCAATTCCCAGCACCCCATATGGTCCCCTGAGCACCGCCAGGAGCAATTCCTGAATGCATGAGCCAGGAGTAACCCCTGAGCATCACCAGGTGTGACCCAAAACGCAAAAAAAAAAAAAAAAAAAAAAAAAAAGTGAAGTTTAAAATTGATCAAGAAACGTAGATAAAAATTAAATCCTCTCCACCCCCCTCCCATTCTTTCTGTTTGGGTCACATCCATAGATGTTCAAGGGTTACTCCTGGCTCTGCACTCCTGGCAGTGCTTGGGAGACCATCTGGGATGCTAGGGATAGAATCTGGGTCGACCGCATGAAAGGTAAATAAATGCTCTACCCAGTGTACTTTCATTCTGCCCCCATATGGTAGTTTATGTACTATCACAAACGCCTCCAAATCCTTTTTTTTAAGGTATTTTCTTTAAGGTATTTTAAGCACTGATTTGGGGAGTAGGATATGACATGCATTTGGGAACTTTTTAGAATGTGAATAAAGCATGCAGATAATTTTTAATATCTGTAACTACTGTACACAGTAGTTATAGTTACTAGTTATATACAGACTATTAATTAAACATATAACTTATAATTAAGAAAAATGACTACTTTTTCTATAATTTTAATTAAAAATATAATTTAAAAATTTATCTTTAAAAAAAGTACTTGGGATCAAACCAAGGTCTCATGCATGGGAGACAGAGATTTGTCACTGAGCCACATTTCAAACTCTTGGCCAGAATATTGATGTGAGGGACAAAGCCTTAACAGCATTTTGGATCATGAGGAAGGATGAAGTGCTTAATAGCAAAGCTATATAGCAGTTTTGAGATACTTCTATTAGTCTTTCAGGCAAGGACAAAAATCTTTTCTTTTTTTTTTTATAGCTGTAAGCTGATGGATGCTAACTAAACATACTGCAGTAATAATTTCACAGTATACATAAGTCATTATTTTGTAGGCCTCAAACTTACACAGTGCTCGTATGTGAATTACATCTCAATAAAGCCAGAAATGGAGGTTATTATTTTTTTTAAAGTCTTTGCTTAAAGCCAATGGTATTTAGGGCTTTAGATTTTTGTGTGAATTTTGGAGGGACCACACCCAGTGGTTCTTAGGGACTACTCAATGCTATGTACTTGGGAGCTGATCTTGTAAGTGCTGAAGGTGACACAGGTGGGGGGTGAGGACCATGTGGTGCTGGCATTAAAACCAGGTCAGCTGCATGCACTTCAGCCAGCTGAGCTATCTCTCTGGCCTTTGAATTTTAGTTCTAAGCTGCTGCATTTAATTTTAACTGATAAGACATTTAAGTTGTTGGCATATTATTCCTTTATTAGAAATTGTAAATGAGAAATTATTTCAACACCCGAAGACCAAGTTTCAACAGAATATTCCATAGGTTCAAGATTTTGAGACATCATGGTAAGAGTTTTCTGTAGGGTATATCCTCTCCGTGGCATGGCAATATCATTCTTCTTTAAAAAGGTTACCGGACAGACATCATTTCCACCATCTCCTATATAAACAATGTGGGTATAATTCACTCCCTGTCTTAACTGTTCACCTACAAATTCTTCCAAAACTACATTTTTGCAGAGATTCTTTGGGCACCTTTTGCAAGAATGAGCATGATAATTTTCCACAATGAGATAACCATTACTATCAAAAGCTGCTGGATTTGTAAATACTTTATCAAACACATCAAGAAAAACTGCAGCTTCTAAAACCCAATCTATGAAGACTGAATTCGAATCTGAAATAATGATGCAGTCAAATTTATCCTTATTTTTTCTTATAAAGTTAAAAAGTTCCACCATTCCCGGAGTGAAAGACATTGATGTCACTGCTCTTTTCATTTCTTCTTCTCTTATACCTTGATCTCCCAAATATTTAAAGACTCTACCCATAAATTCTGTCCAAAATCCCTTTTTATAAGAATTCTGTAGGTCATTAGGAAGTTTTTTCTCTGGAGCACACTGTATAATCCAGGTGTCACTGTTTTCATCTATGATTGTATTGTCAAAATCAAAAACCAGCAAAATTTTCATGGTTCCAGAAAGATTTGAGTTACCCTGAAAAAAGAAGAAATATTATTCCCTAAACATATTGTGTTTTATATATCTACTTTCCTAAACAACAGTAATGTACGTTAAAATAATTAAGCATTTTTACGGGCAAGGGATATGGCTCATTGGTAGAATGCATGCCTTGTGTGCTAGAGATTTGAAGACCGAGGTTGATCCCCAGAATAAAAACAGACTTGGGTTTGATCCCTGGAGTGATCCCCTGAGCCAGGAGTAAGCCATTTTTTTGGCCACACCCAGTGGTGCTCAGTGGTGCAGAGTTTACTACTGGCTCTGTACTCAGGAATTACTCCTGGCGGTGCTGGGGGACCATATGGGGAGGTGGGAATTGAGACCTAGTCGACCCACTAGACTATCTCCTCACCCCACCAGGAGTTAAGCCTTGAGTACCTTTGGGTATTGCCTCCAAACAAAAACAAACAAAAAAAAGACTACAACTTAATTAAGCACTGTACCCTGGAAGCAAAGTTCATTTTGAGTACTTTAGGTAAATGGAAAACAGGATATTCACAATATTATTTTATTACTGAGAAGATAAGTCCTTGACTATTGGGCTATCCAGTGAGAGAAGTACTGAAACAATAATTTTTCTACATTCTCATTTGGAATACAACAAAATTTTTAAAAAGCTAATCATTTAATTATCTTCAAATTGTCAACCATAACCACTTATAATGATAAGATTAAATAAGTCCATCATTTACAACATAAAGCTTCCGTGTATTAACCAAAATTAGCTAAATCTAACATGAGACAAAATCTTGAAAAATTTAAGATTTTTAAAAAATAGCGTCAGGGCCAGAGCAATGATACAGAGGGTAGGGTCCTACCCTTTTACACAGCCAAACTGGATTTGACTGGGTCCCGTGAGCATCATCAGGAATAATTCCCAAGTTCAGAACTAGGATTAACTTTGAGCATTGCCAGGTATGGCTCAAAAAAACCAAAATAAATAAATAAGAGTAGTTAGCACAGCGGGTAGGGCGTTCGCCTTATAAGCGACCAACATGGCCGACCCGAGTTCGATTCCTCCGCCCCTCTCGGAGAGCCCGGCAAGCTACCGAGAGTATTCGATATGCCAGACACAGTAACAACAAAGTCTCCAATGGAGACGTTACTGGGCCCGCTCGAGCAAATCGACGATCAACGGGAGGGCCTTTACCTTTACCTTTACCTTTTAGTCTAAATTTATAATGCTAGTGCTAATTTAGAATTAAGTGATTACTTTATGATATACCTATCAATTAATTTCTACCAAAAAGTCAATTTATTTCTACCAAAAGTAATTTTGTTAACAATTTTCACATTTCTATTTTCTCTAGTTTATTCTGCAGTGCCACATAATCTGGAGATAAATATAAATACATGTAATCACATATTATAGGTCTGTTACAGGTTTGTTTTCATTCAAAGATAATGAAGATCATTAATTATCAATTAACAGTAGAGGCGAAAGTAACATGTGAAAAATAGAGAAGTAATGTGACTGGAGCAATGATACAGCAGGCAGGGCACCTACCTCGCATGCAGTCAACCTGAATTCCATTTCTGGCATCCCATATGGTCCCCCGAGCACTGCTAGGAGTTACTCCTGAATGCAGAACCAGGAGTAACCCCTGAGCATAACCGACTGTGGCCCAAAATCAAACCAAGACAGACAAAAAAAACCCAGAATTATATAAGTAGGACAAGTTATAAGTATGTATAGCACTGCACTGTAGCAGTGTCTTCCCATTGTTCATTGATTCGCTCGAGTGGGCACCAGTAACATCTCCATCGTGAGACTTGTTGTTACTGTTTTTGGATATCGAATACACCATGGGGAGCTTGCCAGGCTCTGCTGTGTGGGCAGGATACTCTCGGCAGCTTGCTGGGCTCTCTGAGAGGGACGCAGGAATCGAACCAGGTTGGCTGCGTGCAAGGCAAATGCCCTACCTACAGTGCTATCGCTCCAGCCCATAAATATGTATACACAGAATTCTTTCGCTCCTCTCCGAGAGCCTGGCAAGCTACTGAGAATATCTCGCCCGCACGGCAAAGCCTGGCAAGCTACCTGTGATGTATTCGATATGCCAAAAACAGTAACAAGTCTCACAATGTTACTGGGCCCGCTTAATTTTTAAGAGAATAAATTTTTTAAAGATCCCTAGTATTGGGGCTGGAGTGACAGTACAGCAACTAGAGCATTTACCTTGCATGTGGCTGACCCAGGTTTGACTCCCTTGTATCCTATGTGGTCCACTGAGCACTGACAGAAGTAATTCCTGAGTAAAGAGCCAGGAGTAATCCCTGAGCATCATCAGGTATGCTTCTCCACCACACCAAAATAAACTGGTAGAGCTAGTAGAGGTCACTCCTGAGCACAGAGCCAGGAATAATAGCTCTTGAGCACTGCCAGGTATGGCTCAAAAACAAAAAAAAATAATATTCAATTTTAAACAGTTGAGTTGGGAAGAGAGTAAAGTGGGTTAAAAAAGCAAAAGAAGTGGCAGAGCTATGCAAGGGAGACAACTAAAAGGGTTGGCATACCTGCCTTCCATTGGCTCAACTGATTAAGATTCCTGAATACAAGAAATTTGCAATGAATAGATGCAAAATGCACAATGAACAGATGCAAAAGCACATCCATGGTCATAAGGTGTGACCCAAGGGAGCATAATAATTAGCATGTGCACAGACACCAAAATAAGAGGAATACAACCTGTATGCAGCCAAGTAAGCAAGCACAGCAAAAAAATATGTGACTCCCAGTATGTACCAACACCAAACAATGTGGGAACACTAAAGGCATGTGTGTGTTTGTCACTGCATTGACAATACCTGAAAATATTAATTAATCTCATCAGAGTATGCACTAACAACAGAGCATCGATGAGTTCTATCTTTTAACTACTCTGTGGTTCTAAGGAAAGTCCAAAAAAGAACCCTACCAATAAGAAAAAAGAACGTGGGACAGGAGATAGTATGGAGGTTAAGGCACTTGCTTTGTACATGGCCATCCCCAGTCTGATCCCTGGTACCACATAGAGGTCCTGAGCACTGCTAGGAATGAGTCCTGAGCTAGAGCTATGTATGTCCTCAAAACAAAGAAAAGTAAAAGAGATCAAATAAAAATGGAAAATATGGTTTTTAAATTACATGTACCATCTGGCTTATAATAATACTTAGTACTTGAAGGATGAGAACAAGGCTGTGACTCATATAAAAATATTCTCAGTGCATTTTCTGTTGCCCATAACATAACCTACCAAGTGCGCTTTCAGTGGTAGAGCACTTTTGTTTTATCTGTGTGGGGTAGATGGCTGTGTGCTTGGAATGAGTGGCCCTTACCCCCTTTGGCTCAGTCACTGTGTTGCTCAGGCCCAGGATGCTTGGGGCCACTGGGGCAAGTTACACCATGTGGCTCTCAGGGGTATATGTGGTGCTAGGAATTAACCGTATCTTGTCCATGCCAAATATGTGCTCCAACCCTTCGTTCTACTTCCCAGGCAACATTAAGCATATTTTTTTTCTCTGCCAGGGATTGAATCCAGGACCTTACAAATGCCAGGCAAGTTAAGGGGCTATAATACAGTGGGCAAGGCACTTGCCTTGCATGAGGCCAACATGGGTTTGATCCCCTACATACCATATGGTTCCCTGAACATTGCCAAACGCAATCTCTGAGTGCAGAGCAAGGAGTAACCTCTGAGCTTCGCCTGGTGTAGTCCACATACAAAAAAACAAAAAGTGCTCTACCACTGAGCTCTATTTCTACCCCTCTAAGGCATATTTTATTTTTAAAATTGTTTTGTGTTGGGGTCACACCAGTGATGCTCAGGACTTATTCCTGGCGTTGCATTCACTGATCTGTCCTGGCGGGCTTGGGTGACCGTATATGGTGTTGGGAATTGAACCCAAATCTGCTACATGCAAGGCAACTGCTCTAGTCACTGTACTATTGCTCTCGTCCTTAAGCACATTTTAAATTAAACATGCTTTTCAATGATTTTAAATTCATGCATAACTGGGGAGGGCTCAATCGTAGCTCAGTAGCAGAGTTCATACTTAATATGTATGAGGCTCTAAGTTTTAGCCATATCAGCCAAAAATAAATGAATTAAAAATATGACTTTTTTAAAAAATATAACTACCAAAATCTACTTTGAAACTTGTTTAACAAAATCTCAAACTTGTTTAACAAAATCTCAAAATAGTTATTAACTATTGCCTACAACTATCTAAAAGCTAGACAATTAACCACATACTTCCAAAATTTCTAAACAATTAACCTCAAAATAAGATGTATCATAATCACAAGTGTGATCTCAGGTGCCGCAACAATAAAACAATGTACCATGATCTAGAAGTTAGTTTCATAGCTGGCTATTAATTTCTATTCTAAAGTTTTATTTAGGTCTGAGTGATAGTACAGCTTGCCTTGCATAAGGCGAACCAAGGTTTGATCTCTGGCACCCCATACAGGTCCCTGAGTAGGCCAAGAGGGATCCCTGAGTCCAGAGCCAGGAGAAAGATCTGAACACTTCTGAATGTGGTCCAAAAATCAGAAACAAAAAGAAATACTTAATTTCAGGTGTTTGTCTATTAGTTTTTACCCCCTTAGCGCTCAATATTAATCTACTGAAATACTTACCCAGTTTTCGTATCTGCACAATAATTGAGCTTACTTCAGCATAGAGATAAGGTTAAACTGTTATAAAAATCTTCAGTTTTAAACACAAGCCAATTTCTAAACAACATTACTCTCAGTCTATATGCAGGGAACAAAATCTTCTGGTTTGGAGTAAAGCACTGTAGACTTCTTAACTCCTAAAATTAATAAAAGTAAAATATTTTAAAACTTTTAAATAGTTTTCTAGTTATGTTATTTTTTTTTATCAGAATAGCATCTATTATATGGAAAGCATTACTGGTTATCAGAGGGGAAATGTTCTGGGAGGGGTAAATGAATCAAGAGGATCAACTGTATGAAAGGAAACAAGAATTTTGGCAGTACTGATGATGTGGTCTACCCAGTATCAAATTATAATGTGGTTCACCTGAAACATACACTATCAGTAATACTGGAATAAAAATTTATACGTCTGAGTTATTGAACAGCAGGTAGGGCACTTGCCTTACATGCAGCCAGCCAACCCAGATTCAATTTCTGGGATTACATGTGGTCCGCCAGCCCTGAGCACTCTCAAGTGTGGTCCCCAAACAAAGACAAAAATCTATATATAAAATTATTAAAAAGGAAAATTTCTAGTGGAATAAAATCTTCACTGGAAAAAAATGCCATTAACTATAAAATAAGGAATACATGGGAATAGTTTTTATCCAGAGGATAATCAAAGTGACTTTTTTGGCTTTTTGGGTGACACCCGGCATTACTCAGGGGTTACTCCTGGCAGTGGTCGTGGGATGATATGGGATGTCAAGAATCAAACCAGTGTTGGCCCAATGCAAGGCAAAAGCCCTACCCACTGTACTATTGCTCCGGCCCTATTTTTTTTTTTAAATTGTGAACAACAAATGCGATTGTTGTCAATAAACATTCAAAAATTTGAAATAAAATCCTCAACAAATAATGGTGTGTTTTAAGTGTGAATCTACTTCAAAACCAGTTAAAATCTCCAAAGCAGTTATTAGCTATTGTCTACAAAAGTGAGAGCAATGCAATTCCTCTTTTGCAAACCAAGCACCCCAAAGGAGAGAGAGAACAAAAGGGAATGCCCTGCCACAGAAGCAGGGTGGGATGGGGGGGATGGGGGATGGGAAGGATACTGGAATTAGTGGTGGTGGAGAATGGGCACTGGTGGAGGGATGGGTACTCCATCACTGTATACCTGAAACCCAAGCACAAACATTTGTAAGTCTACAACTGTACAAATGATGGTGCCATCCAAGAACGTAGACTTGGTTAGGTAAAGAGGTCAGTGATAGGGGGCCACGCTGGTAAAGTGCTAAATTTACAGTCAGCTGATGCAGGTTCAACCCCCTCTCCTCCCAATATGGTTCTGCCAGTGGGTCAGGAGAGTTCCCTCCTGAGCACACAGCCAGGAGTAAGCCTAGGCTCTATTGGTTGTGCCAAAAATACCAGGGGGTAGGGTAGGGCAGAAAGGCAAGTATGTGATAGCCATACTGTGATAGCCAATGGAGTATTTATTTAGCTAGTAAAAGATGCTCCGTTCAAATAAGCAAGCAAGGCACTAACCACAGCATAAAACTGTGTGTGTGTGTGTGAAAACCCAGAATCTTTTTGTTTTTTAAAAATAAACACCTATGTGCACTCTGGTATGAGTGTGGATCTTGTGGATGTTTCCACTGTCCTTTTCTTTTCCCACCTGGATGTTATTACAAAACGTGTTTCCCCAGTCACATAAGCTGTTTCCTTTCAAAGTGTCTACTACCTTCTTCAATTCACAGCTTAAAGGGGGAAAAAGGAGCTAAGATCGGCCAAGGTTCCCCAAGCTCACCCGGAGTGGCTGGGCTCAGTCACTGTCTAACCACCACGTCCAACCGGCAGGTCAGGGAGGGAAGCAACACCCGTTTCCAAAAAAAAAAAAAAAAATCCGTAAAAAACAAACAAATAAAACCCCATCAAAGTCGCCAAACACTTCAAACACTTATTTCTGCCAAAGATTATCTTGTGAATCCTTTCTCGCTTACCAGCATTATGGCAGTGGAACATCTGATGGAAAACCTGGGGGAGGGAAACAGCACAACGAGGTGTTAGAACATCCGGGATGAGGCGGGAGCCCAAGACTTCGCGCCCTTCCGTTCGGAGCCAGGCCGAGCCCGGGCCGAAAGCGTGCGGAGGGGGGGGGGGGGGGGGGGGGCGGCGGTCCCGCCACCGAATCGTCCCCGCGGGGCTGCGTGAGCCCTGGGGGCAGGAGTCAGGGGGAAGGCGGGGATCCTGAAGGCGAGGCCGCCGCCGCCGCCCCCGCGCACATTTCCGATTCCGCGCCCGTCTCGTGGGGAGGGAGGGGGGTCCCCAAAACACTGTCCGCTGCAGCTACAGAACCCGACGGCTACAACGTCTCCAAGCCTTCTGACTGGGTTCTGGGGCATTCCTAGTTTCAGAAAACGAAGCCCTCGAGCCCGAAGTATCCAAAAAATAAATAAATAAAAATAAAGTGTTGCTGTCCCTGGACGGCGACGGCTCACCGCGGACCGCGCCCTTCACCGTCCACCCGCGCACAGCTCTGAGGGCCGCAAACGGCCGGCCGAGGCCGCGTTCTTCCACACACCTGCCGGGTTCGCCCCCAAGTGGGGAGAGGGGGAATGCCGGGACCCAGTTGGGGGTCGTCCCCTCTGAGAAGCGCCTGGGGCGAGGCGATAGGGCCCCCCGATCGGGGCCAGGTCCGGGGACTCCTCACGGACCCAGGAGAGGCATCGGCAGCCGAGCCGGGCGTAGCACGCGTGGACTCGGCGCCAGCCCCGTCAACGTCCCGTGCTTAAACGCCGGCCTCCGCTTTCGCGCAGGCGCAGTGTCCGGCCTCCAGCGCCCGGGCCGACGGCGACGCCGTCCTCGTTCCTCGGCGACCGCGGGCGTCATTTCCGGTGCTGTTGCTAAGCGACCGCGCGTTGCGGGGCAAACCTTCCGCGGGCTCCTTGGCTGAGCTCTGACCTTTCCGCAGTGCAATGGGCTCGTCAGCTACGCAGGTGCGATTCGGAAGGCGCTGCGGGCAGGCGAAGGAAGGCACGGGTGAGCTCGGCGAGCCGTGCGAGGAGTACAGGGACTGGTTCTGGCCTTTGGGTGTAGGGAGCGAGTCGAGCAGAGACCACGTGAGAGCTTCAGTTGCATTTTGAAATGGGCCGCCTCCAGCCTAAAGCAGACCCTATCTAGGCTTTGTGCAAATTAGACAACCCTGTATTCAGGTGAAAGAGTGGAAAGTGGAAAGGGAAGGTAGGAGTGGGTGGGGAAATTTTACAAAAAATGGGAGTGGAGAAAAGAAGTCACAAACTCCCAGATGATCAACTGGTCCAATCCGAGTGCAGTTCCCAGCCTAGTGTTCACTGATATTCTCGAGCTGTTGAGCTTTGTGAGTTTAATCTTTGGGAAATATTAATCATCTCTAGAGTCGTGGCTCTTATCTAAGCAGGTGGTCTTGGAAAAGGTCCTGAAGTTGTAGCAGACACAGGCGCTCAGGTTCTCGTCTTCAGGCAGTCAAGATTGAGAACCAGCGATCAGAGATCCAATGGACACATTCAGGAAAGACTAAGGGAAGGGAAAAGAAGGTAAAGAAATGCAGGGAAGCTTCCAGGTTATGGGAAGGGCCTCTTAAAGGATTCCATAGAAAGGCAGGAGTCATTTTCCCTTTTATAACTTTTTCACAAAGGGAGTTGGGGGTGGGGGTGGGGGTTGTGAGCATTTCTTTGTTGTGTTCCAAGCATGTGGGCCATTAAAACAAGGGAGAAGGACTGGAGCAATAGCACAGGTGCTAGGGCGCTTTCCTTGCATGGAGGCCAACACAGATTAGAACCCTGACACCACATATGATCCCCTGAACCCTGCCAGGAGTGATTCCCTAAGCCAGAAATAAGATCTGAGCATCACCAGGTGTGAGCCAAAAAGCAAACAAACAAACAAAAAAAACATACGAAAAACTAAGGGAGAGGATGCTGAGATGATTATTTTCTAGGGTTCAGTCATATAGATTATCAGAGCCTAGGTCATCCAGGTTATCAATCACCATCTAGGCCTCCCTTGTGACATTCCATTCACTAGTTCTCTCTCTTTTAGGGTCACATTCCTAATCTTCTCCTGCCTGCTTCCTCCTTTGTTCCTATCAAAGTCTGAACTTTCTGAAAAAAAGTTTCTAAATTCTCAATTTTCTCACTTCTGAAGTGGAGATTAGGTCTCTCATCTCTCCCTATTGTAGATTCTTCGAGTGTGCATAATGTATTGTAACTTAGATGACCTGGTATAAAATTTTCGGTTATTTTGTTTTGTTTTGCTCAGTGGTTACTTTTGGCTCTTCAATCAGGAATTACTCCTCTAATGTTCGGGATAGAACCCGGGTTGGTGGCATACAAGGCAAGCTCCCTTCCCACTGTACTATCACTCCAGCCCATGGTTTTGGAATAGGAATAAAATTGGGATGGGATATCTCAAGGGTTCTATCAGTTTCAATCATTTTTGTTTAGAACTACACATTCCCAGATAATGTTGCCATGGTGACAGCTGGGATTTCGTACTATCTTCACGTTCCTGCCCCATCTTCTGGAGCAATAAAATCCCTTGAACTTGAAGCATAGTAAACATAGAAACAGATCATAGTGAAAATGGAAGCCAGCCATTTTTCCATCAGTAGACACAACAGAGATTTGTAGAAAGGGGGGAGACTGAGATAGGAGCACAGGCTCCCAGTAGGTGGCTTACAGACTAAATGCTCCCATCTTATAGTTATGAGGTCATGACTTTGATCCCCAGAGCCCACATATTCCATTTGTGGCCCCAGTGACTCTATGGTCCAGAACCCCCAACAACAGCAATGTGTGTTCTCTGAAGAACCACATCAAGATAGATGTGTGAGAGCACCACAAATGAAATATGCAGACCCCGCCAATTACTGGTTAAAAGGATATTTAAGCATTGCAACTAGGAATGTGAGCTCCATCAAGCATTGCAGAAACACCACAGCACTCACTGTGAGCACTGAAGACTTGGCTAGATTAAGATTGCCTATTTATAATAAAGAACTTCTGTTTGAGGGACTGGATCAATAGTATAGTGGATAGGGCGTTTGCCTAGCATGCAGCCACCAGGCTTAATTCCTGACACCCCAGATGGTCTCCCCAAACATCACCAGAAGTGATCCCTGAGTGCAGATCCAGGAATAATTCTTAAGCACCACTGTGTGTGGCCCAAAAGCAAAAATATCAATGGAAGCAAAAGAACTTTAAGGGGTAGAAGCATTCTTAAAGAAGAGCTCTTATGAGGTTGGCTATGTAAGTTGGGATGGTTTTGAAGTCATATAATGGAGACCCAATTCAACATGTTTTAAAATATGTAAATTTGCTCAAGCCACAGCACAATTGGTAGAGCGCTTGCACCACCAGGACTGATTCCTGAGTGCAGAGCCAGGAGTAATCCCTGAGCATTTCTGAGGGTGGCCCAAAACCAAAAATTTAAATTTGATCCGGGGGGACAATACAGGGATAAGGGATTTTGTCTTGAATGCACATGACCTGGCTTGGATTCCCAGACCACATGGCTTCTTGAGCACCACCAGGTGTGACCCAGGAGGCCCACAAACACTGCCAGAATTGCTCTGCTGATTCCCAGCACTGCAAGACAAGAGCCACACTGAATCTTTGGGCCTCAAAATTCAGCCTGTTTAGTTGCTTATTCAACAGAAACTCCAGACTTTGTGGTGGACTGATCTAATAACATCAATGAAACCATAATGAAACATCCCTGTTTCAGGTTCTGTTTTCATTTCTTCTTTGCAGTTCACAGTAATGTCATCCTAAGGTTGCTTCTTCTTGTGGTTACACATTGGCTACCTACCTGGCCTTTATGCTTCTCATATGTAGTTTGAAGACACACTTAGATGTCTCAGACAAGAGAATAAAAGAGACCTTTCCTTAAAATCCCCCTTTTTTACTTTTGCAGGGGTAGAGGTCATGCCTGGCAATGCTCAGGGGTTACTTTTGGCTCTGCAATCAGGAATTACTCCTGGCAGTGCTCAAGGAACCATATGAGATTCCAGGGTTCGAATGTGGGTGGGCTGCGTGCAAGCCAAATGCCCTATCCCGCTATACTATTGCTCCAGTCCCCTTCCCCCATCTCCCACCCCCGCTTAAAATCTCAAGTAGGTATTTTCTCCTGTCATTTTATTATGGAAATAATTATTAGCAATTAAAATGAGATTATTAAACTAATAAGGTTTTTCCTGGAATTAGCCTTCCAAATTATGTTGCTATTGCTTAATTAGAAAGAATTTATTTATATGCCTTACCTGGTTGTGATTAGGGTTTACTCCTGGCTTTGAACTCAGGGACCACTCCTGGAAGTGCTGGGGATCGACTGTGTAGTGCTGGAGATTGAACTGGGTTCAGCCATATGCAGGGCCTTTTCCCCCTGTACTATCTCTCTGGCCCAAGGAAGGGGTTTTAAAGGAGTTATTCTTAATGACTAAAATATGTATATCCCCAAAGTTATCCATTTATTAATGGCCATTGGCTAACTTTGAAAAGTCCCTTTATAACAACTGATTGTAGTATTACCAGTAATATCATCAGTCTTAGTTTTAAAAATGAAGGTACCAAGGTGCCAAGAATTTAAATCACTTGCCTAAATTTACCTGTAAAGAAATGAACCAAGACAAGATTCATAGCTATCATTTTATTTTAAGGTCTATATTTTTCACCTAATCCAAGCTAGTCTTTTTTTTTTTCTTCTTTTTGGATCACAGCCAGCGATGCACAGGGGTTACTCCTGGCTCTTCACTCAGGAATTACCCCTGGCGGTGCTCAGGGAACAATATGGGATGCTGGGAATCAAACCCGGGTTGGCCGCGTGCAAGGCAAACGCCCTATTTTGTGCTATTGCTCCAGCTCCCATCCAAGTTATTCTTAATAACAAGAGTAAAATTATTTTTATTATTATTTGAAACAATTTCTGATATCATGTCATATAGATATATCTGAGAAAAATTTAACCTGTCCTTGAACATCTCTGAATTTGTTTTTAAATTTTATTAGCAGTAAAGAACCATGAAGATCAAGTTTGTTACCCATCTCTATCTAACAAAGTAGATCTCCAGCAGATCACTGTAATTCCACATGATGAGTGGAAGAGGATTCGAGACAGCCTTGATAGTTTGACAAGAGAAGCAGCTCGCCTTCGTGCAGAAAGAAAAGCAAAAAAACAATTGCATATTCGATCGCAAGAAGTTGTAAGACATTGGACTAATACATCTGCAGTAAGTATCAACTCAATAGAATACCCAGCATGCTTAGGGCTTTCACCTGGTTCTGTGCTTAGGGATCACTCCCAGTGGTGCCGTTGGGGTTGGGGGGGACCATATCGCCATCGGGGTTGAGGGGGGGACCATATATAGTGTGGGGGAGTCAGCCAGGGCCACAGAGCAAGTACCTTAAACTGTGTTTTTCTATCTCTTTAGTCCCAGGAAATTGTGTCTTTGTGGCATACAGTGACTAGAGCACATACTTGACTGTGGTGTTCCCCCACTTGATATCATGCTTTCCAGGGGTCATACAATTTATTTATTTTGGTTCTTGGACCATGCCTGGTGATGCTCAGGGGTTACTTCTGTCTCTGTACTCTGGTGGTACGCAGGTGGAAGTATGGACCATATGGAATGCCAGGGATTGAACCCAGGTTGGCTCTGTGCAAGGCAAATATTGACTGCACTACTACTCCAACCATGGGCTCATACACCTTTTTTTTTCTTTTTTAAAAAATTTTATTTTTATTTTCTTTTTAAATTTTATTTTTATAAAATTGTTCACATTGATTTATTACATTCAATATTCCAACACCAATCCCACCACCTTTACACCTTCCCACCCTAATAGAAGGCCCTGAATGATTTATTTTGTATTGCTTGTTATGATTAATTCACTAAAAATGATCAAAACAGATTTCCTTAAAAGAAACTGTGAAGGGCTGGAGTGATAGCACAGCGGGTCGGGCGTTTGCCTTGCATGCAGCCAACCCAGGTTTGATTCCCAGCATCCCATATGGTCCCCCTGAGCACCGCCAGGAGTAATTCCTGAGTGCAGAAGCAGGAGTAACCCCTGAGCATCGGCTGGGTGTGACCCAAAAAGCAAAAAAAAAAAAAAGGAAGTGTGAAGATTGTATTTCAACCTGGAGTCATTAAGCTCTTGTATAAAACAGTTAACCTGTTGTTTACAGGTTAAGCCTTGTTTACAGGTTGCCTTCTACTTTACATCTCGTCCAATGTGTTATGCTGCTCCTGATATGTCAGTGATGTGGATTATGAGATGTCGCACAGCTATGAAAGTGGCTGTGCGCTTCAAAATTCTAAAATTTTGATGGGGCGATACAATTGGGGTTGAATTATTAACTGGATGGTAACTTTGGACTCTAGAAGCATCTCTGCAGCTCTCTTTTCTCTTTGAGATTTATTTATGAGTCTCTGGATCATGGCCAATTAATGAGCTTATTTGGTGCATGCTGGAGGCAGTTCATGGGCGTGACAACCAGGATCTTGAGAGAACAAGGGAAGGGGTGGGGTGGGGGAAGGTCACCCATCCTCGACTATATTTAAGCCTGGAGATTTCGGTCACAAAACCCGCATACCTGAGTTTTTCAACAGATGTTTTCATGCAAGAGGCTCACCCAAGCCTGTGGGGTCCAGCAATGAGCATGGCAGTGATTGGGTTCTGGAGGTTTTCAGCTGCCAGGCTTCTGCTGGAGGGAGTGGAGGGGGGGACTCACCCTCTCCTCCCCTTCACTTTAGTTGCTGTGCTTGCACATACTTTGTTGCGATATGCCAGAAATCACATTCTCTATTTTGCCTCTTGAGGATCACAAATGGCAGTCTGATGGGATTGCACTTGGTATGTGGGGTGATGCTGGGGACTGATTTTTTATTTCATGCCCGAAAGGCAGGCACTCTGCCACTGAGCGATACCAGCAAGTATTTCTGTTTTTGAACATTGCTTGTTTCCTCACTATATGTTTATCTTTGGCAAGGGACATAGAAAACTTGTGGTACTTTGCTTTAAGACTCAGTATTTCTTAGTTTTTTCTATTTTTCTAGATGAGGGAAGAATTATATCATGACTGACACCATAGATATGTAATAATATAACATTCTGAAAAAGTCTAAACTATAGGAAGAGAAAACAGTTCAAGTGGGATTAGGGGTTTTAGTTAATGATAATAGAGTGAATTTTTTGAAAATAAAATGTTTTATATGTGACTAAATATTGTAAAAATGTACACTTAGAAGAGTGTATATAACTTATACTCCAAAAACCTTGATTTTTAAATAAGAGAGGGGGAGGAGTGGAATCTTTTTCCTCTCCCTTTTTACACAGAAATTATTTATAGACCTACAATAAAGAGTAAAGTTATGTAGGTAAAGTAGAATATCTTCAGGACTTCTGAGTAAGAACATTACTTAAGATCTGAAAGTATGACCTGTAAAGGAAGACAAATCTCCATACTGTGAAGTACTAGATAGATCCTTCAAGATAGATCCTTCTAATCTGGCAATTAGAAGAAAAAATAGTATGTTTTTGATTTGGGGTCACACCGACTGTCAATATCTTACTCCTGAATCTGCATCTATGGATCACCCTGACAATCTCAGGGACCATATGGGGTGCCAAGGATTGAACCTGGGTCAGCTACATGCAGGGCAAGCGTCCTACCCGCTGTACTATTGCTCTGGTCCAGAAAAAAAAAATAGTATGTTTTTGCAAGTATAGAAAATAATTATGAAGGTAGATGAAAGAAACCAATATTATTGATTATTTTAGAGATTGTAGATAGGAATTAGGATTATAGGGAGAGATTCACTGTATAATAATATAAATTTTATAATTTGGGGGATTTTCGACCAAGTTAATATGTTACTTGCCTTAAAATTCAATAGAAACTTGTAAATATATTGGAACTCAAGCGATAGTCCAAAGAATAGGGCATTTCAATCCCAGGCATCCCATATCGTCCTTCAAGCATAGCCAGGAGTAATTTCTGAGTTCAGAGCCAGGAGTAACCTCTGAGTACTGCCAGGTGTGACTCAAAAGCCAAAACCAAAACCAAAAAAAAATTCTTATATTTTATTAATGACATAATAAAATGGAATTCCTATTAATGAAAGCCCAAATTACCATGTTATAATGTTAAATTTGGTAAAATTAAATTTCAAAGTGAAAATAGATGACTATTTTTTCCTTTTACAGGGAATTAGAGATCAGAATCTTAAAGCCAAAAAGAAGCGTGCTGAAGAATTAGAGGCAGAAGGAAAACTTCTTGATTTGGAAGATGAAATTTACCAACAAGGCGAAAGGAAAAAAGCCATTGAACTTGCAAAACAATATCAATTTTACCAGACAGAAAGAGTGAAAAAACTTCATGTACTATTTGTATTTTCTTTTTTTAATGTTATTTTTATAAAGTTGTTCACAATAATTTATTTCATTCAATATTCCAGCATCAATCCCACCACCATTATACCTTCCCACCACTATTATTTCAAAATTTCCCACCACCATCCAAGGCTACCCCAAAGGCAGATCCTAAATAATTTATTTTGTATTACTTGTTATGAATAATCTACCAAAAATGATGCAAAGAGGAAAGTGTGTGAAGATTATTGTATCTCACCTTGGAACCATTAAGCCCTTATGTGAGGAGATTACTAACGTTGTTACAAGTTGGACTTTGTGTGCTAATACATATATTTTTTGATTGAGATCGTTTGCCTTCTACTTTACACCCCATCAAATGGGTGTGCTACTCTTGGTATATTAATGTGGTAGAGTATGAGATATCACTCCAGGAATTCTAAAATTTTAAATAGGGTGATAGAGCTAGAGTTAAGTTTTTAACTGGATGGTGACCCTGGGATCCAGAGGATTCTCTGCATCTTGTTGCTCTCTTCCAAGATTTATTTGTGATTCTCTGAATCATGGCCATTAGTGACCTTATATGGTGCCGGAGGCAGTGCGTGCATATAACTGCCTTGCTCCCAGAAGAAACGGAAGATGGTGGGAGGTTGCCCATTCCCAACTCCATGCAAGCCTGGAGATTTTAGTCACAAAATCCGCATACCTGAGTTTTTCAGCAGACTCATTCTCATGTGTGAAAGGATTTTCCTGAGCTTATGGGATCTGGCCATGAGCATGGCAGTGTTTGGGTTCTGGAGGTTTTTGGCTGCTGCAGCTCTGTTGGGGTGGGCATTGTGTTCACCTGTTCCACTCTGGGGTACCCCAGATGGATTCAGCCTGGCACAGGGTGTGGAGGTACCTCTTGGATTTTCTTATATATTTGTACATATTATATATACATATATAATTTGACTATTTTCATAAAATATTGCAATTTTTTTTTTTAGTCAGGACTTCTTCTTAGTAGAGTTTTGAAAGAGCGGGATGCACAGATTGAATTCAAAAAGAGCAACATAAAATCAGATAAAAAATGGGAGGAACAATTGAAACTCAACAGTGAAAAAGCTTTTAAAGAAGAAAAAGAAAGAGAAGAAAAACGACGAAGAGATAGCATGGCTCTGGCCCTTGATCAATTAAAACAGTATGTATAAACAAATTACATTTTAAAATATTTATTCATTTTTGTTCATATTTATTCATTTCAAAATATACACATAGACTGATGAGAGATAGTACAGTGGGTGAGGCACTTGCCTTGCACAAAGGCAAACCAGGTTTGATCCTTGGCATCCCACATGGTCCTCCAAGCACTGCTAGAAATTATTCCTGTGTGCAGAGCCAAGAGTAACAATGATGTTTGCTGGGTGTGGCCCCAAAACCAAGTTAAAAAAAGAAGAGAGGCTGGAGTGATATCACAGCAGGTAGGGCATTTGCCTTGCACGTGGTCAACCCGGGTTCGATTCCCAGCATCCCATATGGTCCCCTGAGTACCACCAGGAGTAATTCCTGATTGCAGAGCCAGCAGTAACCCCTGTACATCACTGGGTGTGACCCAAAAAGAAAAAACTAAAAGAAGACTATGGAACCAGGAGATAATATAGTGGTTAGAGCATATGCCTAGCATACCCTGAGCCAGTTTTGATCCCCAGCAGTACATGGTCCCCCAATTATTGTTGGGTACAGCCCTGGTGGCCCCATCACTGCCAGGGTGTCCTGAGTTTCTCACCAGCATGGCAGTGCCCGAGCAATATTGCATCATTAGACCACTGGCTTCATTGACTGAGAAATGCTGGTGAGTGCCCCCTGCCTCTCCCCACGACCTCCTTGGTTTGGGAGGTCCCACAATAGAATATAACCTGGGTTTTTGTTTGTTTTCAGTTTTAATGATGTTTTGCTTTAGAATTAGAGAACGTGAAGAGGAAGAAGAAGTAAGAAGAAAATATGAAGAAAAGGAAGCTGAGGAAATAAAGCGGCAGCATGTATTATATGAAATAGAAATAGAGAAAAATAAAGAAAAGAAAAAAGAAAAGATCGCTGAGAACAGGAGACTGCTTTTTGTAAGTTAAAAATCAGCATTTCTACAAAGAAAGGTCAAAGTACCTAACTTTGGCTTTTTTTTTTAGTAAGCTCATTCCTGGGCTTACTCCTGGCCCTGTACTCAGGGACCACTCCTGGTGGACTCAGGAAACCATGAAAGGCATACATACAATAGTATCTGTTGTACTATCTCTCTGGTCCTGATTTTGATTTTTATATTGATAGACATAATGTGGTTTCCATGTTCCCGTATTATAGTTTTGAAATTATAGTGCTTCCTTAACACTCCCACCTAAGGAGTCTGTTAGTGCCTAACTTTTTAGTGGTCTTTTTTGTTTTGGTTGTTTTGTTTTTGGTTTAGAAATAAGAGTAAAGTAGAAAATTAATAACTACTAAGTTTTTTATTTCTAAGAGACTACACATTTGGGGGAGCTACAGTTTTTCGTGAATGTGATCTTATGCATGAACAGGAAAAAATGAAGACAATGAGAACCCAGAGAGATAATACAATGGGTAATGTTCTTGAACTCAGGTATCACTCCTGGTGGACTTACGGGAACATGTAGGTGCTAAGGATCAAACTCAGATAAGTGCCTTATCAGCTATATTCTGGTTCTGTACCCCTTAAATACGGTTTTATTTAAGTAATATGTGCACAGTTAAAATATCAAATAGCACCAAAAACCTTTATTCCACCCCTTCTACTTCATAGAGCCAACCACTTCTAAGTCATTTTAGCTTGCTCTTCTGTTATACAATGAAAATGTAAATAATCTAAAGTTTATAATTAAAAATACATGTTGAATTTTAAAGATCTATATCTTGATTTTTTAGTTCTAGACTTTTTGTTTTGGTTTGGTTTGGGGGCCACACCCAGTGATGCTCAGGTCTTACTCTTAATCCTGAGTAATGCTTCCCATATGCTCAGGGGACCATATGGGATGCCAGGAATTGAATGATATCAGCCCCACACAAGGTAAATATATTCCTTCCTGTAGTCTCTCTTTCTCTCTCAATTCTAGACAATATATATATATATATATATATATATATATATATTTTGCTTTTTGGGTCACACCCAGCGATGCTCAGGAGTTACTCCTGGCTTTGCACTCAGGAATCACTCCTGGCGGTGCTCGGGGGACCATATGAGATGCTGGGAGTCGAACCCGGGTTGGCTGCATGCAAAGCAAACGCCCTACCTGCTGTGCTATTGCTCCAGCCCTGACATTTTATATCTTTTTGCACTGCAGTTGAAGATTTGGCTCTTTTCTGACAGTCACTTTTTCATCTTTTCTTCCTCCAAAATAATTGTCATCATTTTTGTTATATCACTAGGATTATATTTGTATATTATTCTATGGATTGCTGAGCAATATATTATGATTGTTACTGTGTCTGGCATATCGAATACTCTTGGTAGCTTGCTGGGCTCTCCGAGAGGGGCGGAGGAATCAAACTTGGGTCGGCCATGTTGACCGCGTATAAGGCAAATGCCCTACCCGCTGTGCTATCGCGGTAGGGCGTTTGCCTTGCACGCAGCCAACATGGCCGACCCGAGTTCTATTCCTCCGCCGCTCTCGGAGAGCCCGGCAAGCTACCGAGAGTATCTCGCCCGCACGGCAGAGCCTGGCAAGCTCCCCGTGACGTATTCGAAATGCCAAACACAGTAACAACAAAGTCTCCAATGGAGACGTTACTGGGCCGGCTCGAGCAAATCGATGATCAACGGGAGGGTCTTTACTTCTTTGCATGTGTAATTGTTTTATGGTTTAAAAAAAGTCCTTTCATTTGCTTTGATGACTGTACACCTCATTTACCCCATATGTTCCATCAGTCACTCAAGTATAAAAGCTACTAATATAAAAGTATAAGTATAAAAGCTACTAGTTTTTAAAATTTCAGTCAAGAAGTGGGAGGGATAGTACTGCAGTAGGGTGTTTGCCTTGCATGAAGCCTACCCAGGACCCAGGTTCCATCTCAGGCATCCCATATGGTTCCCTGAGCATCGCCAGGAGTAATTCCTGAGTGCAGAGCCAGGAGTAACTGAGCATCGCTAGGTGTGTCCCAGAAACTCCACCCCCCCCAAAAAAGAAAAAACAATAAAATTTCAATCAAATAATATGAAACTGGTCTCTGTAACTGGTTTTCTTAGTTTCCACCCATACTGGAATCTTCCATCCTTCTCTCCTTCTGGACTGCTTGTGGTCTCTAGACTGCTTCTCGGCTGTCATTCTGGAATGTTCCTGTGCCACTAGCCTGAGGGGGCAGTGCCTCTTTACTGAATGTGATGTCTTCTTCCTTCTTGGTTTAGTCCTTAATCTTGCCGCAGGACGTGTTTGAGTAACTTCCTAAGAATGATTTTACAGGAGGTAATTTTTTTTATTTCTTACCTAAAGTCATTGTCACCTAAGATTAATAGTTTTACTGTATATAAAATTCTGAGCTTACAAATCTGCATTCTTTATTCATGCTTCAGTCAGAATCCTCTGCTTCCAATATTACAACTGAGAAATAATGGTGTTGCTTATGGTTTTCATCTTTTCTATTTGATCTGTTGGTGATTTCGCCCTTCATTTGTCTCTGTTCATTTGCATATCATTTGCATATAGCAAGGGGTGGAGGGGGCCCTAATCACTACCTGGAGTGATGAGTAATGCCTGAACAGAACCCTGAGCACTACCAGATGTAGTCCAGCCTTACCCCCAAATATTGGGGAATTAAATGTTTCGTATAGTAACTTTCATGTTGAATCGGATTCCACTTACAGTAATAAAATAAATCAATATATTGATTTTTGTGTTTATTTACTTTGAAGTAAAATAGTCTTATTTAGGAAATAAGAGAAGAGAGAGGGGTATGAATAAAAGGGAATTAGATATGCCAGCCTGTCTAAAGTTACCAATTTTTTTCCAGTGGAGGGGCGCACTCAGACTGTGCTCAGGAGGCCCAAGGGCTCCTCCCAGCAATTCTTAACCAACCAGGCTGTAGTTCAAAGCTAGGGTACAACGATGTGTTGTTCCTTGATCCCTGCAGAACTGAGAATTGCCTGGGCCACTTCAGCGGTGCTTGAGATCCTCCAGGGCCACAGCTGATGATGACCATGTCAGGGATAAAACCAGGGTTGGCTGTGTGCTAAGTCTGGTGGTCTCATTGAGTGTATGCTAATATGAGAAAATTTTTGTATTTTGCTTTAAAAAATAATTAAGTACTTAATCAAGACATATCTATACATTCTAATGTAAATATACAAAAAGAAAATCTGGATAAAGAACAAGTTTTACAGCAGTTAAGCTCAGTGGAGAAAATTAGTAATAGGCATATAGGGCATAGAATAGGCAGGACCTTAAAAAAATTTTTTTATTGAATATCCGTGAGATAGACCATTACAAAACTGTTCATGATTGGGTTTCAGTCATACAGTAATCCAACACCCATCCCTCCACTAGTGTATCTTTCCCATCACCAATGTCCCATCCCCCTGCCTCCCCTGTTTTCCTCCCACCATCCTCCAACTCCACCCCCCACCCCCAGTCTACCTCTATGGCAGGCACTTTTCTTCTTTCTCTCTCTTTTTTGGGGGCATGATGGTTTGCAATACAGGTACTAAGAGGTCATTGTGTTTGTTCAGTGTGTTCAGTATTTTCATTGGGAAGGTAAGGCTGGAGTAGCTTTTTTAACTGGGTGACAGCTTTTGAGTGTGGATGTGACTGGAAGTACAGGGAAGTGGGGAGGTAGCTCGCCCCGACCCTGAGAAAGCCTGGAGATTTCAGTCACAAAATCTGCATACCCAAATTTTCAGCAGATAATATCCCAGGTTTGGGCAGAGACATGGTGGCGATTTTGGATTGTGGAAGCAAGTGGCTGTCAGGGGCTCTACTTGGACAGGCACCAGACAGACTCTAGCAGGATATTTCACGTAAAGTATATATTTTAAATATTTTTTGATTTGTGTCTCTAAACTATTCTAATACTTAATGAAACGGTATGGCTTAATGTATTTTTCTTATTATTTCTATTTATAAAGAAATGAGATCTTTGAAAAGAAATACAGAAAACATTAAGAATATATAAAATCCACCCAATAATCACATACCTCAGAGGTAGCTACTGTTAAAATTTTGTATGTTTTCTGGGGCTGGAAAGATAGTATAGCATGTAGGACACTTGCCTTGTACCCAGATTCAACCCACGAAGAGTGATTCCTGAGTGCAGAGCCAAGGGTAACCCTTGAGCATTGCCAGGTATGGCCACTCCACCAAAGAAAAATTTAGTATTTCTTCCAGAAAACTGGAATATGCTATGTATATTTTCATATATTATTTGTATCTTACTATGTCAGTTAGAGTTTAATCAGTTCTCCATTATTGTATATTTAGAGATAGTTTTTATTTTTTTTGTAAAGGTAAAGGTAAAGGCCCTCCCGTTGATCGTCGATTTGCTCGAGCGGGCCCAGTAACGTCTCCATTGGAGACTTTGTTGTTACTGTGTCTGGCATATTGAATACTCTCGGTAGCTTGCCGGGCTCTCCGAGAGGGGCGGAGGAATTGAACTCGGGTCGGCCATGTTGGCCGCTTGTAAGGCGAACGCCCTACCCGCTGTGCTTATGAGATGAAGCATCTATACATAAAAAAAAGCACATTTGGATTATCACAATGGGATAAATTTCCAAGAGAAAAATAAGCTTGTCCATTTGGCAAGTTCTTATTAGATACTTGTATGCTAAAAGGTATTTTTGTCTGTGTGATCAATACACATTCTCTCCTCCAGGAGCATATAAATGATAAAAATAACATTAAAGCTCTAGAACAACAGCAGAAGGAAGATGAAGAAGAAAAGATTAGAAGATTTATCAAAACAAAAAAATATCTTGCAAAAGTAGGGTTAGAAAAAGAAATTGAAAAACAAAGGTAAGCCTTTAAAACAATACATGTAACTAAAAATATACTGTCTTAAAATGGTGTTTTATAAATCATAAATTGTGGTTTCACTCACTTCACTTCACTAAAGACTAAGAGTGAAATTCATTTTTATGTATGAAGTCCTGGGTCTGAGCCCTAGCATAACTAAATAAATCAGAAATTAAATGAGAGCTGCCGTGAGAATTAAAGGCTCATTTTATATGTGAATGGGACAGTTTACTAACATGATTTAAGTTTAGGACACGTGAGTTGGGATTCCCTTGGAATAACTAGGGCATCTATCTGGTAGATGGCTGGCAATACTGTAACTCTCTGCTCTAGAAGAAGGATATGGAGTGGTGATGGCTTTATTCACAAATTCATGTGTAGGTAGAAGCTGTGGATATGGGTGAACTAATCTCGAGTGGGTAGGTAAGAAATGAAGGTGGCATAGTCCTGAGGGAAGTCTATGTGTAAGGGTCAAATGAAGAAAGAAGGTAATGTGAAAATCAAAGAATCGTATACTAAGATTGGAGGAAAACCAGAGAAATAGAAAGGGAGCAGAGTTTCAGAAAGAGGAGAGTAGTCATCAGGTCTTTCTACCCCAGCTACAGTGAAAGCTCCATGAGGATTTTGTTTTGTTCTCTCATATGTCCCCAGGAACTAGTAGCCAGACAATAGCACTACTAAAGTACTAAAATAAAGATAAATTGTTACATTTTCTAGAAGACTTCCTTTTTCTCCCCCCCCCCATCACTTTTTAACTCTCCATGGCATATATCATCCTTTGCTTGTTTAATTTGTTTGCAGAAATATCCTTTCTCCATTTTAGATTCTGATTTCCTTAGGGTTACTTACCATAAACTTTCTCATGGTTTTGCTCTCACCTTGCTTTGCCAAGTCACTCCATAAATTAGTGAAGTTTCTACAACTAATTTTAAAAGAAGCTTTGGACCCAATTTTCCAAATAAAAATGCCCTTCAAAAATTCCCTTGATCTGGGCTGGAGCGATAGCACAGCGGGTCATTTGTCATGTTGAGTTCTCGACCTAGGTACACATAACTGTTGCATTTGGAGATGTTTGTTCCATTGAGAGCAAATGGAACATCAGGAATGAGACCGTTTCTCATAAACATTTGTGAGATTCAGTTGTAATCCGACCTTTCCACACTCACAGTTGAAGTCAGCTAGCATTTGTGCTGCTTGGCTAATGTTTGGTGTTATTAGAACAGTGTCATCAGTGAAGCGGAGGTGGTGTAGTTGCCAACCGTCTATCTTCACTCCCATTCCTTTCTATTCCAGTCGTTGCATAACGTTCTCGAGGGTGGTACTGAAGAGTTTTGGTGAAATGGTATCACCCTGCTGAACCCCTCTCTTTACGTCGTAGTTCCACATGGAGCTGGAGAAGTTCTATAAAGAAGACCACACCTTCTACAAGATCAGTTTCAGTTATTTTAATGTCAAGATAGGACCAAGAAGATCAGCCGTTGAGCTCCCATTTGATCCAGCAATACCACTCCTGGGAATATATCCCAGAGAGGCAAAAAAGTATAGTCGAAGTGACATCTGCAATTGTCTGTTCATTGCAGCACTCTTTACAATAGCCAGAATCTGGAAAAAACCTGAGTGCCCGAGAACAGATGACTGGTTAAAGAAACTTTGGTACATTTACACAATGGAGTACTATGTAGCTGTCAGAAAAGACGAAGTCATGAAATTTACATACAAGTGGTACTACATGGAAAGTATGTTAAGCGAAATGACTCAGAAAGAAAGGGATAGACATAGAAAGATTGCATTCATCTGGGGAACATAAAGTAACAAAATAGGAGACTAACACCCAAGAATGGCCGAGATTAGTACCAGGAATTTTACTCCATGGCTTGGAGGCCAACCACACATGCTAAGGGAAAAGGGAGCTCAGATATAGAAGGGAACACCAAATAAAGGTGTTGGGAGGATCCTCCCAGGATGGGAAAAGCATGTGGAAAGTAGACTATAGACTAAACATAATTGTCACCCATTGCCTCTTTTGCAAACCACAACACCCAATAAGAGAGAGAACAAAAGGGAATGCCCTGCCACAGAGGCAGTGTAGGATGGGGGGATGGGGGGTGGGAGGGATCCTGGGATCCGTGGTGGTGGGAAATGGGCACTGGTGGAGGGATGGGTATTTGATCATTGTATAATTGAAACCCAAGCACAAAAATGTGTAAGTCTGCAACTGTACTTCATGATGTCTCACTATTAAAAAATTTTTAATAAAAAACAAAAGATCAGCTGAAGAACACCACATCGGGCCCCCTGGCCTAGAATGGAATGAATAGGGTGAGAGACTGTCTGAGTTCATCATATCGGCCAAGACCATCCATGGTAACTCACAGTTCCAGAAGGCCGGATCTAAACGTTGGACGTGGGAGTCTCCCGGTGGATGGTTCCACAAAAAAATTGACATCATATTCAATCGGCCCCGGAACCCGCGTGGCTTTGTCCCTCTGCCAGTACCTTCATGTGTGCGGAGAGTGGTCTCAGCATGGTGGTGGCTGGTCCTGGAGGTCTTCGGCTGCCATCTTGGGCCCGAGAACTCCAAGCCTACTCGAATTGGAGTCGAGCATCTTCCACCCAGGTCCTCCAAATTCCAGTAGGCGGGGGTCACACCCACCACCTGGCCCCCTGGCGCCGTGTAATCCCATCAGCGGCCAAGACTCAGAGACTATAAAATCCAGATCCCGGACGAGAACAGTGCAGTCTCTGCCCCCGCGCCTGGGTGTTCCTTCCCGGAGTCCCTTGGAGGGGAGCGGGTTGAGCTTTCCTCCCCGCCCCGACCAGGGCTACGGCAGCCGAAGACCTCCATTCGCGGCCTCCATTCGCGGCAGCGCGACATCTTATTACCTCATTCCTACTTTGGACAAACTTGCAGGCTATCCGAATGTAGCCTGCCCACAGGGCAGAGTCTGGCAAACTCCCCGTGGCCTACCAAATATGCCAAATACCAGTAACAATGATGGGTCTCATTCTCCTAAAGAGCCGTGAATATAATCTCAGGGCTAGGATGAAAGAGACGTTACTGGGGCCTGCTCGAGGCAATCGACGATTAACAGGATGATGAAATGAAAAAAATGAAAATATTCAATCAATAGTTTTGCCTGACCGATGTCCCTGTTGTCCCAAAATTCCAAATGGGATTGGATCACCTTCATGCAAAATTCTACTTCACAGAGCGGGGAGAAAGGGCTTCAGAGTTTAAGAAGAGAACTCTCAGAATGACCACCAACTGCGAGCTCTTTGACACTATTGTGGCAACATAGGAAGATGCCATCATTGACAACATTGACAAAGAATATTATTGACAATATTGACAAAGACTGGTCCAGCACCTTCGTGATTGTGAGAGGAACGCTGAGAGAGAGAGATAGCCACAGAGAGACGCCTGTCTTTGAAAACTCTCAAGCTCATTCGTCAATGAGGCTTGGTGCAAGCCGCTGGCAACCACAAGCAAACATCCGAGCTCGCAAAGCAGTGTAGAGAAGCGATAAAGGAAGTCCTCAAAGAGAGAAGACCAGCAGTGCTGGCAGATGAGGCAGCTGGGAAAAGCATTCGCAACGCCTGCCTGTCCACCAACTATATGAACAAGATGACTGCCCTCTGATGTCCTGATGGATCTATCACATCTTCCAGAAGGGCAATGGAGAAGATTATCCATGACTTCTGCTTGGATCTCTTTGATAGCTACGTCCACCTGCCCACATTCCAAATTCCGCAGGATGGATATGTCGTTCCCAACGTTCTCCCTTCCAAAATCCGACAGGCCATTTCATCCATAATGAAGCGAACAGCACCCGACCAAGACAAGGTCAGACCCAAACACCTGAAGAACCTGCCATCAATTCTCATCAATACACTGGCTCGGCTCTTCACACGCTACCTGTCTGAATGCAAGGTTCCATCCCAATGGAAAACCAGCAGGACCGTTCTACTGTACAAGAAGGGAGATAGCCACGACATTGGCAACTATCGCCCAATCTGCATGTTGTCCGTGGAGTATCCTGAATAGGATTGGTAGAACACTAGATGAAGAACAACCAAGCTGGGTTCCGAAAAGGATTCAGCACAATCGACCCTATACACACGATAACCAAGCTCATTGAGGTTTCTCGGGAGTTCAAGATGCCACTCTGTCTAATGTTCTTTGATTTAAAGAAGGCCTTGATTCTGTTGAGACTGAAGCAGTCATCGAAGCCCTAGCCAAACATGGCGTTCAAACTCAATACATCAGGATCCTCCGTGAGCTGTATTACGGATTCATCATCAGGAGCTCACCATTCTACAAGGAAGTGATCATCGATGTAAATATGTAGTTATTACTGATGAAGTTTTAGGCCTCCATCCTTAGCTCTCGCCTTAAGAGAGGGACCTTGGGACTCATACAGTAAAGGGAAAGAGACCAATTAAATCTCTCAAGTGCCACACAAAGGGTGCATTTTTTTGGGGGGGCCATGATAATTTTTACTAGGTATTTCTGAGGTTTTATTTAAAGAAATGTCCTTGATTTGCTTTTGTAAGCTAAGTCTCCAATGTCACAGTAGGTAAAGGGAGCTAATAAGTATTTAAAACATTTTTTATTGTGGAATCTGAAAGTAAACACTTCATTTTTATGCATACACCTAACACTTCTTTTTCACATTTAACATGTACACACCCAAGATTGTATTACATGTATAGTTCCCCTTGGAGTTATAAAATACATTAAAAGTATAATATATATTTAAGAGTGTATTATTTTAAATTTTTCACTTAAGGGGCCAGAGAAATAGCTCTGCAGATGAATTGCATGCTTTGCATATAGGAGACCTAGGTTCAGTTCCTGACGCTACATGGTCAAGAGTAATACCTGAGCCCAAAGTGAGGAGTAGCCCTCAAGCACCATTGTATTTGCCATAAAACAATAATAACACAAAAAACAAAAGAACCCCCCCCCCACACACACCACCAAATTCAGTCAAGTGAGAAACCTTCATTCACTGTTGGAATGTTGTCTGGTTCAACCTCTATGAAAAGCAATATGGAAATTTCTCAAAAGTAATAATAGAGCTCCTGTATGACCCAGCAATACCACTTTTTAATATCTATTCCAAAAACACAAAACATTAACTTGAAAGAATATGTGTACCCCTGTGTTCATTGCAGTGCTTAATACAATGGCCAAGATATGGAAACAATTCAAGTGCCCAATTATGGTTGAATAATTCGGAAATTGCAGTTATATGCATGATGGAATACTATGCAGCTGCAAGAAAGGTCAAAGTCATGCAATTTGCTGCCTCATGGAAGGAACTGGAGGGTATCATGTTGAATGAAGTTAGTAAGGAAAGGGACAGATACAGAACAATTTCTCACATAGGTGAGATTTAAAGATACATAATAAGGGTGCAATATATATCAAAGCAACAGAACTGAAGAGTTGCTCCATAAAACTGAGGTGAAGGTGGGGGAAAGGTGATGAATGAGAGGAGTCTTTGAGGCCTTGGTAAAGGGAAGTGGGTACTGTGGTAGCTGTGTGATGTTGGAATACGTATGCATGAATCCATCATTAACATTATTGTAAATTATAATACTTCAATAAAGATTAAAATATAAAACAAATCATTTTAACAATCTACTTAAAACATTCAATACAGGGTTGTGTATGCATGCTTCGCACATGCTTGCGTCTGCATGTGGGCTGGAATACGTGCTTTGCATGGGAGCTACAGGAATGATTCCAGGCACTACATGGTCTCCTACACATGCATTGGGAGTGACCCCAAGCACCACAAAAATACAAAAGTCACTCAACATATATAAGGATCAATGGGGATTCTTTGAGTTTTGTAAAAGACTATGAGATTCTTTCTTAATTAACTTGTCTTGGCTTCACAATAAATCTATGAAGATTTGACAAATGATGGGTATTTTGTTACAGGCTAGAAGAAGAACGAAGAGAAAGAATAAATAACTTCCTGATTGCACGAATGAGGGAAAGACTTGACAATGAAGATTTGATTATCGCCAGAGATATTGCAGAAGCTGATGCTGAATGGGAAAAAAGAGAACGAGAAAAACAGGAACTAAGAGAAGCAGAATTAAAGGCAATTGCAGAACATAGGGATATTACAGTAAGCAATTCACTGTCACTGTCACTGTCCTCCGGTTGTTCATCGATTTGCTTGAGTAGGACCAGTAACGTCTTCATTGTGACAGTTGTTACTGTGTTTGGCACATTGAATAAGTCACGGGTAGCTTGCCAGGCTTTGCTGTGCGGGTGAGATACTCTCGGTAGCTTGCCGGTGTCTCCGAGAGGGACAGAGGAATCGAACCTGGGTCGGCTGTGTTGGATGCTTGCAAAGCAAACACCCTACCCGCTGTGCTATCGCTCCAGCCCAAGCAATTCAATAAACAAAAAACCAAAAAGAAACCTAAGCTCTTACCCCTAGTTTCCACTCCCTTTCTCACAAAAAATTAGTAGAGATTTGAAAAACAGTGACGGAATAATCTTCCTGTAGTCTTGGAAACAGTTCTGCAATTCTAACAAAGATGTGAATGTGGACTGGAGAGATAGCACAGCGGGTAGGGCGTTTGCCGTGCACGCGGCCGACCTGGGTTCAATTCCCAGCATTCCATATGGTCCCCTGAGCACTGCCAGGAGTAATTCCTGAGTGCATGAGCCAGCAGTAACCCCTGTGCATCGCCAGATGTGACCCAAAAAGGAAAAAAAGAAAGATGTAAATGTCAAATATTTATAAATGCAGAGTAATAATTTATTTCACAATAATATTAAATACAATGTTTTTTTATTCATATACTTTTGAGGGGAAGGGGTCCAAGCAGCACTCAGAGGCCATAGGAATTCTAAGTTCATGTCTAGGCTTGATGGTGCCGGGGGCCATCAGGGCCATACCCAGTGGTGCTCTGGGGGCTGTGTTGTGCTGGGATCTAAACTAGAATCCCTGTGCATATGAGACATGTGACCTAGATTCTGACTTATGTCCCTGTCCCCCATTTAATATGCTTTCCATTTAGATGCTGTTAAGACATACCAAGTGAAAGTTATATTTCTGTATTTCCATATTAGGATTTTTGTTTGTTTCTTTGTGGTACTGGGGATCAAATCCTAGGGCCTCACAGGTACAAAGCATGTATTCTACTGCTTAACCATATCTCTGCTTCCCATTTCCATATTTCTTTGTCCTTCAAAATTTATCTACACGAGTGCAGCTCTAACATTTCAATTGAATAGTTTCACAAATATTGTTAGCCAGTTTTACTTTCAAAGATTTTCCTGCCTTAAGATGTTCTTTTTTTTTCTTCCTGTATTTTCCTTTTAAGACCAATAACATTTTACTTGCATTTTTATTAGGTGTTTCCTGATCTTCAGAAAATAGAAAAAAAAAAGTACACTGCCTCCTTTGGGACTGTGCTGGTCTTGCTCCTGTCTGATTGTGTGCATCATAAGGAAACATGGTTGCTAAAAACTGGTTTTAGTTCTCTTCTTTGCTTTTTAATCATCTAGATGAAAAATAAAGAGGAACAAGAAAGACTAAGAAAAATAGAGAATAAAGAACATCTGCTAGCCATGAAGAAAGCAGATCAGATTTTCCATGAGCATGAAAAGGAGAAAATACTCAAAGCTGCCAAAGAACGTAGAGATATTCAAGAGGCCCATATTCAGCACATTGTAAGTATCTTTAAATATTTCAACCTGATTCAACACCAAATAATGTAATGGAGAACTCCTCTTTCCCAAGCAGTTGCCCTGGTTGACAAAGTTTAGTTTTTATGATTATCAGATAGTTTTTATGATTATGACACAAGAAGATATATTAAAAATATGATTACCTAGTCTATATTTTTTATCAGTATCGGAGTCCTCATGGCATATTTGTCACTTTTCACAACGAATTATCTTTAGTGTAGATTGTGCTTTAGGAGACATTAAGGAAAATACAAATGCACGTGGGTAGGTCATGATGTTCATTGCACTTCTCTTTAAAATTTTAAACCACAAATTATCTTACCTGGTGAATCACGTATTCAGCAGCTTTGGGGTGAGGATGTCAGTTTTCAGAATACAGTCTGGCAGAACTGGGATCCAGTCAGCTCTATCTTAAACCTGTTTTCCAAGCAGCTGTGCCATGACCCGTTCCCAGCAATAGTGCACACAGGGACACAGGCCTCCACTCCCTTGTTTCCTCTTGAAATTGCTGCCCCCCTCACTGGCATGGGCTAGTGCTGTGGTATCAGACCTCTTGACAAGTATTCAACAGGTTAATTAAAAACTTAACTAAAAAATTCCAAGCTTATTGTGTTTCTTCCTTCCCTTCCCTTTGTAGTTTTGTTGTTGTTGCCAAGTCCCAGGTTTGCGTCCCCAGATGTGGTGCCAGGATAATAGTGGCAGTGCCAGTGATCACATTCGGTGTTGCTGGGGATCCAGCTCACAGCTTTTGTGTGCAAGGGACATGGTCTACCACTGAGCCACTTACCTGGGAAACAAAAAAGGTTTCCTTATTTTTGAGCTTCAATTAATTTTGTCTATTCATTTTATTTTTATCAATTAAATTTTATGTTTTATTTATTATTAATTTTAAATAATTAATTGGTATTTCGGCCATACCCAGCGGTGCTTAGGGCTTACTCTGTCTCTGAGATCAGGAATCACTCCTGGCAGTGCTCAGGTGACCGTATAGGATGCTGGGGATCAAATTCAGGTCAGCGAAATGCAAGGCAAGCACATTGCCTCTGTTTTATTTTGTCTTATTTAGGCTTTTTTGGATCACACTCAGCAACCCTTAGGAGTGGGTCATGCCTGGTTCTTCATGCAGGAATTACTCCTGGCAGTGGTTGGGGGACCAAATGGGATGCCAAGGATTGAACCCAGGTTGACCACGTGCAAGGCAAATGCCTTCCCTGATGTACTATTGCTCTGGCTCAACCAATTTTTTTAATATGTCTAAGTGTAGCACTGTAGCATCCTAAAGTCGTTTTAGTTATTTTAAGTGTACAGTTCTTGGGGGCTAAGCTCATTCACGCAGATGTGCAGTTCTCACAATGATCCGTCTCTGTAACTTTTTCATCCTGAAACTGTACTCTTTACTTGTTCGCCCTTCCTGACCCTGGTAATCACTTTCTGTCTCTAATGATTTCATTTTTCCAAGTAGTTCATCTTATTAGAATCATACAAAATTTGTCCTTTCATGTTTGCTTTTTCTTCAGGGGGGCTCCTGTGATTGAATCCAAAGTCCCACATGTGAGGCATGCCACTGAGTCACACCCCAGCCCCTGTGTATGTCTTTTTTTTTTCTTTTTGGGTCACACCGGGCTATGCACAGGGGTTACTCCTGGCTCTACACTCAGGAGTTAGTCCTGGCGGTGCTCAGGGGACCATAGGGGATGCTGGGAATCGAACCCGGGTCGGCCGCGTGCACGGCAAACGCCCTACCCGTTGTGCTATCTCTCCAGCCCCTGTGTATGTCTTTTTTAGCATAGCATAATGTCTGCAAATATTAGAGGTGTTTTTCCTTAATGAGGCTGAATAATATTCCACTACTTGCAAATACTATATTTAACTTTCCTTATCATGTACACACATTAATAGACATTTGGGTGGTTTCCATCCTTTGCTATTGCAAATATGCCATAAAGATGCAGAACTTTCCAGTTCCTGCTTTCAGGTCTTTTGTTTATATACCCAGAGTAGGGGCTGAAGCGATAGCACAGCAGGTAGGGCATTTGCCTTGCACTCGGCCAACTGGCCAACTGGGCCAACCCGAGTTCCATTCCTCTGCCTTCGATTCCTCCGCCCTTCTCGGAGAGCCCGGCAAGCTACCGAGAGTATCTTGCCCGCACAGCAAAGCCTGGCAAGTTCCCCGTGACGTATTTGATATGCCAAACACAGTAACAAGTCTCACAATGTTACTGAGCCCGCTCTAGCAAATCAATGAACAAAGGGAGGACAGTGAGAGTGACCCAGAGTGGAAGTGCTAGATCATAGGGCATGTTTGTATTCAATTTTTTTACAACAATGCTCAGGGCCAACTCCCGGCTCTGCATTAAGAAATCACTCCCAGCAGGCTTGGGGGACCACAGGGGATGCTGGGGATCTAAACCTGGTCAGTTGTGTGCAAAGCAAACAAACACCTTACTTCCCTCTGTATATTCAATTTATTGAGAGGCCATGCATACTTCTACAGTGACTACAATGGTACCATTTCTTTAAATTCCCCTTACTTGTTTGGGGGTCTGTTACTGTTTTTTTTTACAGTAGTTATCTTAATGGATTTAAAGTGGCATTTCATTGTGGTTTTTATTACATTTCTCTAATAGTGAATTATGTTGAACAACTTTCTTTGCTTCTTGTCCATTTCTTCCCAGTCTTAAGATTTTTTTAGTATGTCTTATAGCACAATTGTGCTAGCAATTTATTTCACTTTATTTTTCTGGAAATGTCTTCATTTTTTTTTTCATCTTACTGGATATAAAAGTCATTAGGTATCATTTTTAAAGGTCTGAATATGTTATTCCATGACCTTTATGATCAGAAATATTCATCACATCGTTGATTTTCTATCTATGAGGTGCCATTTTTCTCCTTCTGATTTTAAGATTTTCTCTTTATTTTTGGCTTTCAGTGGATTAGCAAAAATGTGTTTTCCTTGTGCTTATCCTATTTGGAGATTGTGGTACTCTTGGACATTTGACTTAATAAAGACAAACGTGGGAAATTTTGCCCTGCTTTATCTTAGTGCTGCCAGGGCGTCACACTGTGGCTTTATGCATGTGAGGCTGTGCTGTAACTGCACATCTGAATTTTTTTCCTTTTCTTCCATATTCTCTCTCTCTTTCCCACTCCACACTCCCACCTGCCTCTTTCTCTTTCTGCAATGCTCAAAGATTCTTGGCTCTGCACTCAGGGACTTGGGGAAACCATGTGGGATTCTGGGGATCAAACCTGGGTCAGCCTCATGCAAGGCAGACACCTACCTGCTTTACTGCCACGCCAGCCCCTGGTCATTTATTTCTTCAAAAACAAATTCCGGCTTCTCTTTGCAGTTTTTGTTAGGGGCCAAATTTACATACACAGAGACATATTTGATATTATACTACAGATTCCTGAGGCTCTATTTATTTTTCATCAATCTTTTTTCCTGTTCAGGTGGTGCAATTTCTTTTTTAAAAATTTTTATTGGTATTGGTGTTAGTACCCCACACTCACCGGCAGAGTGCACTATTACCCTGCACACCTCGAATGCAAGGCCCTTTTCCCTCCACTTTCTCCTAGAGGCCTCAGTCCTATTTATAGAATCCCAGGCAGGGTTCATTGGTTGTAGTGTACTCCCTTGCTGTGTTCATTTTGTTTTTTTGGTTTTGGGCCTTACCCGTTGTGCTCAGGGGTTACTCCTGGATCTGTGCTGCCGGGACCATATGGGTTGCTGGGACCTATGGGGTGCCTACCCCACTGCACTACCTCTCTGTCCCCTCCCTTTCTATATTCCTTAATGCTATGCATAGGAGTAAGGTTATCCAGTATTCAGGGGCGATCATTTCTATTAATATACTTTCAAATCCTGACTGTAACATTGAACTTACTCTTCGTACATTTTGTCATTTCAATTACTGAACTTTCATATCTACAACTGTCATTGGTTTTTCCTTTAAACTTACTTTGTTTAGATTTCCTATTCACTCATTATGAGAACATTTCTTTTAACTCATTGAATATATTAAAAATAGCTGTTTTAAAATCTGATCATTCAATATATGGTTCTAGTCAGTGATCTTTTCCCCCACTGAGTTTATTTTCCCTCTGAGGATAGCATTAGAATACTTTCCTGTTACTTTGCAGGTTTTTGTTAAAAATCTGACATTGTATTGAATATGGTATAGGACAAACATATTCCAAACAGGACAAAATCTGTTTTGTCCTAAGAGTTGTTGCTGCTTCTTTTACTAGAAATTGCTTTCTCAGGACTTAAACTATAAATAACATCTTCACGGGCTGGAGTGATAGCACACCGGTAGTGTGTTTGTCTTGCGCGCAGCCAGCCCGTGGAGCCGGGTTCATTTCCTCCGCCCCTCTCGGAGAGCCCGGCAAGCTACCGAGAGCATCTCCCCCACACGGCAAAGCCTGGCAAGCTACCGTGAAGAATTCAATATGCCAAACACAGTAACAACAAGTCTCACAATGGAGACGTTACTGGGCCCGGTCGAGCAAATCAGTGAACAACGGGAGGACAGTGCAGTACAGTGCTACCACATTAGGAAGTTTCTGATAATCTCAACACATATTTTTTTATAATTCCTTTTTACATAGGGTTCCTGACCATACATATCAGCATTTGATAGTCAACCACTAATGTGGGCATAGTTGAAGTCCATGCACCCTAAACTAGTAAAGATTTTTAAAACCCCATTGCACATGCAGTTATGGGTTAAAGATGTTATCCCAAAGAACATCAAATTCACCATTTCCTCAAGGCTTTTAAACACTTGCTGAGCTCCCCTCAGGTCACCTGTGTCAATGTGTTGCAATTAGCAAGGGATTTGTACAGATATTGACTTGATTATCCTTTTTAATACTCTCATTTCTAGTAAAGTAAAAAGTAAAGGCCCTCCCGTTGACCATCGATTTGCTCGAGCGGGCCCAGTAACGTCTCCATTGGAGACTTTGTTGTTACTGTGTTTGGCATATCGAATACGTCACGGGGAGCTTGCCAGGCTCTGCCATGAGGGCGAGATACTCTCGGTAGCTTGCCGGACTCTCCGAGAGGGGCGGAGGAATCGAACTCGGGTCGGCCATGTTGGCTGCGTGCAAGGCAAACACCCTAATGCTGTGCTATCGCTCCAGCCTCATTTCTAGAAATTTCTTAAATTTCTAGTTGCTTGGTCACTCTACCCAAATGGAATTTGCCACTGTCACTGTCCTCCCATTATTCATTGATTTTGCTCAAGTGGGTCCAGTTACGTCTCCATCTTGAGACTTGTTGTTACTGTGTTTGGCATATTGAATACATCACGGGTGGCTTGCCAGGCTCTGCCGGGCGGGCGAGATACTCTCGGTAGCTTGCCGGGCTCTCCGAGAGGGGCGGAGGAATCAAACCCCGCTCGGCCAGGCTGGCTATGCTCAAGGCAAATGCCCTATCACTGTGCTATTGCTCCAGCCCAAACAAACACTGTCCTCCCGTTGTTCATCGATTTGCTCAGGTGGGCCCAGTAACATCTCCATTGTGACACTTGTTACTGTGTTTGGCATATCGAATACGTTGCCGGGCTCTCCGAGAGGGGCGGAGGAATTGAACCCGACTCGGCCGGGCTGGCTGAGCACAAGGAAAACGCCTTACCCGCTGTGCTATCGCTCCAGCCCATGGAATTTGCCATCACTATCTAATCTGTATCACCACCTGAGCTGGAAGGTTAAACTTGCACTTCTTACTAATAGCAGTCTCTCAGGAAAACAAACAAAAACACCATCCACTTCTCAGGTAATTGTTCGCACATGGTCACCTACTACTGCTCTTGAGTGCTGGGTGGGGTGGGGGTGGGGGTGTCCTGGACCACTCCTGTCAATCCTCCGGCCAGTGGTGCTGGGCCAGCCTGACAATTCTCTGCTGGTAGTGCTAGCACCAACCAGGGCAGTACTCGGTGGTCAAGGGAGCCATGTGGTTCCATGAACCAGGTTGGGCCCTCAAATATCCTGAGTCTGTGCTCCACTTCTGTGAGCTGTATCTTCAGACCTTTTAATAATTTTTAATAATAAATTTGTTTTCTTAGGTGATGAGTTCAGTGACAAAGTACTTGACTTGCATGTGTAAGGCCCTGGGTTCAATCTCTGGTAACACAAAAAAAATATGCAAATTAAAATAGAAAATATTTCACTGTCACTGTCACTGTCCTCCTGTTGTTCATAGATTTGCTCGAGTGGACCCAGTAACGTCTCCATTGTGACAATTGTTACTGTTTTGGCATATCAAATACGTCACGGTAGCTTGCCAGGCTTTACCGTGCGAACGAGATACTCTCGGTAGCTTGCCGGCCTCTCCGAGAGGGGTGGAGGAATTGAACTCGGGTCGACAATGTTGGCCACTTGCAAGGCAAATGCCCTACCCGTTAGCTTCAGCCCAGAAAATATTTAAATACACAAAATTGTTTTCTGTGGAGAACTGACCAGCCTCCTCATGGAATCATTACTATAAGAAAGATGTGTCTATTGTTTTGAAGCAAATCCCAGATAAATTTTATTGATGCATATTTTTCAAAGACTGCAGAAATTAACTTCATCAAAATTCCATGATGACACCCATAATAATTAACATTCAGTTAACATTTTAATTTCTCCCAAAGTGTCTCATGAGGGGCTGGAGAGATAGCACAGCGGGTAGAGCATTTGCCTTGCACGCAGCTAACCCAGGTTCGATTCCCAGCAATCCCATATGATCCCCTGAGCACCACCAGGAGTAACTCCTGAGTGCAGAGCCAGGAGTAACCCCTGTGCATTGCCGGGTGTGACCCAAAAAGCAAAAAAAAAAAAAAGTGTCTCATGAATGTAATTTAGAAGTTTGCTGTTTGAATCAGGCTCAAATAAGGCCTTCCTTTTCAGTTTGGTTGATAATCTTTTATTCTTTAATTCTTACAAAGTATTTAAAAGAATCTGTGTTTACCTTTTAGAATTATTAGTTTTTGCTGGTTGGGTACCTAGTTAGCACTGTTAGCACTGTCCTCCCGTTGTTCATCGATTTGCTCGAGCGGGCACCAGTAATGTCTCCATTGTGAGACTTGTTACTGTTTTTGGCATATCGAATACGCCATGGGGAGCTTGCCAGGCTCTGCTGTGTGGGCGGAATACTCTCAGTAGTTTGCCAGCCTCTCCGAGAGGGATGGAGGAATCAAACCCGGGTCGGCCGCGTGCAAGGCAAACGCCCTACCCACTGTGCTATCCCTCCAGTCCAGAGTACCTAGTTAATTTCTGTATTTCATATAAGGTCAGTTCTTGTCAGTTTCAGGTACACATTTTGGCAGGACTTTCCCTGATGTACTATTTGTATACTTTCCTTGGCATGCATGTGACTGTTGTCTCACTTTCTCTGATTGTGATGATTATTGCCTAAATTTTTTAATTCACGAAGTGACAGTGTTGATTTGGTATTTCTTCTGATGCAATAATGAAGTCTTCAGAGAACTTTTCATGATAAACTTATCGTGATAACTATATCTTATTTCCCTAAAATACCTTTTCTTTTTAGCCAAAGTCAGTATCTTATAAATTATAAAAACAGGCTTGGTCAGTTTGGTTGATTGTTTAAATGTCATGCTTGAACTGTTTTGTTTGTTGGAAGTAGTATCACATATGGCCATTAGGGGTCACTGTCACTGCCACTGTCCTCCCGTTGTTCATCGATTTGCTCGAGTGGGCCTTGTTACTTGTGAGACTTGTTACTGTGTATTGGCATATGGAATACGCTTTGCCGTACGGGCAAGATATTCTCAGTAGCTTGCCGGGCTCTCCGAGAGGGGCGGAGGAAATGAACTCGGGTTGGCCATGTTGGCTGCTTGCAAGGCAAACGCCCTATCCCCTGTGCTATCGCTCCAGCCCATTAGGAGTAGTGTCAGTGAATGGCGAGTCCGAGCCTGGCCAGAACTACTAAGTGTGGGAATTTCTGAGATACATTTTGAAGTCTGAGCTTGTACACTATCATTAAGGTTAGAAAATGATATTTAGAACTTCAGCTATTTTGTGTATTTAAGAAGTTTAACTTGTTCACTTATATAAAATTTTCTTTTCTTTCCCAAATAGGCCAAAAATAGGTTGGAATCAAAACTAGCAAAACAAGCAGAAATAGAGTACTGGCAAGATACTAATGCTCTTATGAACGAAAAGGAGAAAGAATTTCAGAATTATGCCAGAGAAGTAATTAAATCTGAGGCTGAATCAACAAATAAATATATTTACCCTCTTGTAAAAGCTGTACAAGATGGATCTGGAGGTGGCCATGGACCAATTCTTATGGACAGAGCTGGACTAAGACCCAGCTACCAGGCAAATGATGCTACTGGAGTTCAACTCCCTTTTTATAACTCTCAGGGCTCAAAATATAATTTAAAAAAATCCAAAGGAAGGCTAGGTTTTATATGGTAGAACAAGTTTAAAGATTCAGAAGACCAATTTGTAGCTAATATATGATCTACAAGTGTAAGAGAATCATATGCTTACAATTTGTTAATAAAGCTGCTCATTATTTTAATGTCTGTTCTGATTCTTCACCACCTCAAAGTTAATTCAGATTCTGTTTCTTTTTTTTCTTATTTTTTTTTGGGGGGGGGAGGCGCATTTGCATGCTGCTAAGGGTTTACTCTTGGCTCTGAGCTCAGGGATCACTCCTGGTGGTGCTCAGGGGACCATGTGTGGTGTTGATTTGAACCCGTGTCAGCTGTGGTATGCAAAATCCTATTGCCCTACCTGCTATTCTATCTCACCAGCCCTCCCTTTAATCTTGACAAAATACACTGAAAGGGAAGGAGCGAGCTCAAAGGGACTAAGTGCGTACTCTTCATGGAGGCCAGGTTTTAGTCCCAGCACCACTGGGAGTGACCCACACACTGAGCCAGGAGTAGCCTCTGGGCAACGAGTATGGTTCCAAGGCAGCAACAGATAAATATACTACATGCAATGTATGGCTTTACCTATTTAAAAGTTTTCATTGGCACCTTTGTTGTGGAAAATCATGTAACCCTTTCCCACAACTTTTCCATTGTGCCAAATAAAAATCCTGCACCTATTAAGATGTCACCCATTTCTTCCTCTCTTCATAACCATGGAAACTACTAGTCTACTTTGCTTCAATGGATTTGTCTGTTTGGGACAGTTCAGAGAAATAGAATCATACCAGGGATATGGATTTGGACTTCTAGCTTACTTCTTTCAATATTTTTTCAAGACTCATTCCCGTTGTATCAGGTATCATGAATAATATTCCAAAGCATTTTTCAGCAGAAGTTTATGTATTTGTTGCTTTATTATTCAATGCTTAACACTTTCAATTATTTTAAAAATGATTATGTAGTTTAGTACTATTTTGTGATTTATTTGATGTTATATGCAATTACCAAATATTTTACTAGTGTATGAAAATTATGTTTTAGAGGCACTTGAAATAATTCTTCCATATATAGTACTATGATTTACCTGATACATTTATTTTAAAAAAATTTTTTATTAGTGAAACACCATGAAGTGCAGTTGTAGACTTACAAATTTTTGTGCTTAGGTTTCAATGATATAATGATCGAGTACCCATCCCTCCACCAGTGCCCATTTTCCGCCACCACTGATCCCAGTATCCCTTCCACCCCCATCCCCCCTGCCTCTGTGGCAGGGCATTCCCTTTTGTTCTCTCTCCTTTTGGGCACTGTGGTTTGCATTGAGTGGCAATCATGTTTGGACTATCGTCTACTTTCAGCATGCATCTCCCATCCTGGGAGGATCCTCCCAACACCTTTATTTGGTGCTCCCCTCTCTATCTGAGCTGCCTTTCCCCCTAGCATGTGCAGCTGGCCTCCAAACCATGGAGTGAACCTCCTGGTACTTATCTCGGCTATTCTTGGGTGTTAGTCTCCTATTTTGTTACTTTACTGATACATTTACATTTTACAAATTGCATACCCCCACTTTTTTTGGATAGTGGCAGTGGTTTGGAGCACACCTGGCAGTACGCATGGGCTATTCTGGCTCTGATCTCAGGAGAACATGAGTTGCTGGGACTCATGAACCAGGGTGGGCTGCATAAGACCTTAATATCCAACCCCTACTTCTTTTAATTAAAAACTCTGTTGAAAATGCACAGCACAAATTTTACCATCATTTATATTTCTAAGTATACAAAAGTTAAAATCATATGGCATAACCAATCTCTGGTTTGTCATATTTTTCAAAACTGAGCTGCAATTGACACATGTTAATTTTAGGTATATGATACAGGCATTTGTATATGCTGCAGTGATCATCAGAAGTAGCTAACTTCTATCACTTAACAGTTACAGAAGACTATTCCCTTAGCAAACTTTTTTTGGCTTTTGGATCACACCTGGTGATGCACAGGGGTTACTCCTGGCGGTGCTCGGGGGACCATATGGGATGCTGGGAATTGAACCCGGGTCAACATAACACCCTAACCGCTGTGCTATCGCTCCAGCCCCTCTTGTAAACTTCTGATACTGTATTACTAATCATCATGCCATACATCCTCAAAGATTTAATTTATAACTGGGAGTTAATTTTGGTAAGGAGAGAAGGGTCCCGGGGGTGGGGGGAGTTGTACTTTTGGCCACACTGGCAGTGTTCAAGGACTTTTCCTGTGTGTGAGCACAGGGGTGACTCCTAGTGGTGACTGGAAAACAGGGGTTGGCCACATGCAAGGCAAGCTCCTTACTCCTGTACTACCACTACAGCCTTCAAACCCCTTATCCATGTTCTGCCCAATCATTACCCATCCTGAATGCTGGAAATTACCACTCTATTTTCTCTAAGAATTGGCTGTTGTTTTGGTTTGACTTAGGGGCACATTTGGTGGTGCTCAAGGGCTATGCCCATATTTGTGCTCAGGGATTACTCCCAGCAGTGATCAGGAACGATGAGGAGCTAACACTGAACCCAGCTGGGCTTCCTGCATGCTTAAGCAATAACTAACTTTAAGCTATCCTTCTGGCACTGAGTCTGCCTTTTAATTTTTTCAAGGACTGTGGGCTCCCACTTAGCAGTGCTTGGGGGCCACTCCTGAAGTGTGAGAAACCATGTAGTGCTAGGGATTGAATCCATGCCTATTGTACATGAAGCATGAACTTAACCCCTTGAGCCAGCTCTCTGGTCTGTGCTTGATTTTGTGCTGTTTTGGATGCCACACATTCCTTTCTCTTATTCCATTGAACATAATACCCCAAAGGTACATCCATGCTGTCACAAATGAAAAAGTTAAAAATTTTCTTGGGTTGGAGCCAGAGATCAAAACACTGTTGTGACTTATGACCAAAAGGGGATATGTGATGCTAGGGAGCAAATTCAGTCCGTGGCTCACACAGGCCACGTGCCCTGACTTGTCTCCCGAGCCCTTGCTTTCAGGTTTTCTTTGGGAAATGGCGTTTGGGCCACACTAGCTTTGTGCCCATAATCTATGAGGTGCCAGGACTGAACAGGGCTGGAAACATTTTACCACATGTAACCATCTCTCTGGTGGCTCCTTTGTTTTTTCTACATATAAATAAAAGTAGAATCGCAGGATCATGTGGCATTTTTAGCAGAACTTGGAAAGTCAGAACCCTTTGTAATCAGGCGTTTTCTTAGCAGGAAGGTGTGCACGAACACACTATTCTGCACATCACTTCAGGACTTCCGTAACAGCTCTATTAAGCTGCACAAGGCACTCTCACCCAAGCCTAAGACTGCAATTAAGAACATCTGATGGACAATTTATACCTTTGTTTTTCCATATAAGGACCACAACCAGTGTGGAGACCCATGCTTTATTGCTTGGAGAACACAAGGGATACACTCAGTATTGCTTGGGGGCAAGGGGAAGACAGTACCAAGAATCAAATTTAGGGTCTTAGATTCGAAAGCAGGTGGAGTGTGACTTGCAGATATTGACCCAGTTTCAATCCCTGGCACCCAATATGGTCCTTTGAACCACCTAGGAGTAATCCCTGAGTAAAGAGGCAGGACCAATACCTGAGCACAGATAGGTGTGGCCCCAAACACACTCAGCATATACCTTACCATTGGAGTCATATCCCTGGTTCCTTTGCATGAAATTTTTTTAAAGGCACAGGTGATTCTATAGGCAAGTCCTAATTCAAAGCAGTTAATGGAGGTCAATGTATTCCAGACTCCTGCATTAAAGGAATGTGGTTTACTATAACATCCACTCATCCAATTTCACTACTAAGCTGTTAGGATGTACCTTACATGCATTAAGCTGCTTAATAGAACTGCTAGATCAGTTTGTCACTATGTTAAAATTATTGAATACAAAGGCATAGTGGAGTCTGGGAACTTCTGCCATGTAACTTCCTTTTGAACTTGGGCTTTGTTTCTGTTTTTTTGGGTGCCATACCTAGTGGCATTTGGTCTGCTCCCAGCATTGTGTGGGGGGTCAGTCTGAGCAGTGCTGGGGAATCATGTTCAAACCTGAGTTTCCCACATGTACAACATATGCTCAACCAGTGGATTGTTGGCTCCTAATTCAGTTTTCAAAAATGTTATTATTTTTGAAATAATAACTGCTGGTTTTGTATTAAGTAATCTTTATACTATAAAATTTCTACAAACTGGCTAATTACATGTTTTAAAACCAACCTAACTCAGTAAAGGATAACATAAAAACACCAATGTTTCTCCCTTAACATATATAGTATTTTTCTTTCTATAGGCTTGGCTCCCGCCCACCCTCGAGAGTCAAGCATAGTAAAAACAAATCACAAAATAATAATGAAAAGAACCGTAGAAAAGCACAAAGTAGTGGAAACACAACAGCACTAACATTTTAAAGAAACCCACAGCTAAAATTGTAACAAACATTATCAAATGTAATTAAGACATTTCTGAGTTCAAGAAAGACTGGTGGGGGGGGGAGCTTAAACTTAATCTGCACTTAAAAATTCAGTATTAGGTTAATAAGTGTTTAGGAAAGAAACCTAAAAAGCAATGAAAAATAGAAAAAGCAAATTGATACTGAAAGTATTTTAATACACAATTCACACAGTCCATTTTTGCACATTTTACATTCTCCTGGCATTTAAGAACACTGCAGAAACTGAGTTAATATTCACCTGTTAATACATACAAACTACTGAATGGTCAGAATGAACGGTTATTACCTAAGCATCTATGTTTAGTGACTGACTTTCAAGTAGGCCCATTTTTCCCTAAATGTGTCTAAGTTAAAAGCAAAATTACTTTAAAACCAAACATAACTTCCCCAAAGTAGACAATTAGTTTTACAAAATCAATTGCTACTTATGTGGCTTTACAATGATAAGTGTCAGATTAAAATTGGCAGGCAGAAGAAGTCTTCCCAAAACTTTAAAATTTGGAGGAATTAAAAAGCAAACAGCATTCCAATATATGTTAATGCAAATTCCCAAGTGTAACTGTAAAAGTCTGCTCAGCAAAGAGTCATTTCAATTGAAAGCACTATATCTAAACATTTACACTAGAACTTCTCAAGCCTTCTGGAAATATTACTGCTAGTTAGATTCTTAAAGAAGCCCAGTATTGCTAAATTATTTAGTTTTATTCTAATATAAATAATTCTGTCTCCATGGAAAAAAGTATATTTTAGTTTATATTCATAATTTAGCCTTTAGTAAAAATGGAGATTGGAAAAACAATATTTAAAAAATACAAAACAAATTGTTTATTATAGTGTAGTTTATTTAAAACAATATTAACTATATAAAAGTTGATACAGATTTGAGGCTTAAGTTCTGTAAAATGCAGTTTGCAGAAAAGTTTAACAGTTACTAGACTGATGGTAAGAGAAGCAGCATTTTTAAACTAATTATACAATTACAACAGCTTTATTCCTAAATTTCATTAAAAAAATATACATCACAGTGACTTTAGATCTAGGAAAAGAAGTGCATTAACGTCATTTGTCTTTCCCTTCCAGAAAGAGAGCAGTCACCTTTAAAGTTCCCACACACAAATACCCAATCCACTTAGCAATCCTTCCAAGAACTATACACACACAAGAGGGGAACAAAATATACAGCATGTGCTTTTAGTAACATATCAATCTGCATTGAAAAAAAATTGCAAAAACACAATGCAAAGCCACCACTCCTGCTTGTACCTAAATAAATGAAAAACCACAATCAACTCTCTTCTCCAATCCTGCTGATGAATTTCTAGCTGATTTTTCTTTTCCCCCTTAGATTTACTTGTGTCACCCCTGCAGGCCAGCTGACATTTGCCAGAATCCTTTACAGGCAGAATAGCCCTATGATGGGCAAGTTTTTGTTAATGCTGTGTTTTCTTGAGTTTATTTTTTAAGTCAATTTTCTAACAAAACACATCTTTTGACATTAAGCAGATTATAAACCTACAATTCTTATAAAGTATATTCAACTGCAAATGTATCACTACTAAAATGAATAGTTATAATACATATGACCAAAAGGAGACATAAAATTGCCAATTTTGTTTCTTTATAATAATCAACTATATGAAATGTAAAGGGAATGATGAATGTAAAGGGAACAAGTTTCTACAGAAATCTACTATAGAAGGTTCAAAGTGGGAATAAATCACCATAGACTGAAACATTAAATTACTAAAAAAATACTAATCTGTCCCAGACACTAACTTGAGAGCAAATAAAAATTGAGTTAATACTATACTCAATATACCAGAAACCCAATGTCTTTCTGTCCATAATATAATTTTTAAAATTTTTAGTTCCAGTGGGCACAAGAATCAAAGGCAATTCAGCAAAGTCAGTAAGGATCAGTATCATACTTGCGCAAAGACAGAATTAGCAGGAAAATTATTTGATACGTGTGATTAAAGAACATAGAAACAGCATCGTTCTATGAACTCAGTAACTGTATAGTAAAAAACGTTTTCATGCAACCCTCTAAGATGTACTACTGTTGACATTAATCTCTCTGTAGAGTTCATTTCTTTTTATTTTTCTTCTTCTTTTTTTGGTTTGGGCTGTATCAGTGGTGCTCAGGGAGAAGAACTGAACCCGGATGGGTCACAGGCAAGACAAGAGCCTTACTCACTTTTACTTTCTCTCCAATCTGTAGAGTTCATTTCTATGGCAGATGGTTTACCCAGAAAGAACTTGAAATAATCATAAAAATATTCTTAGATTAATGCTCATCAAGCAGTATAAACCAACGTAAGTAACTCTGAAAGGTCACTGGGTAAAAATATTCTGAAGTAAACTGTAAGCTCAGACATAACATTATATACATATATAATACCATTTTTACAGAAAAGAAATAGTTGGCTTTTAGGAAAACAGTAATGTTCAAATAAAAACTAAGGATGGCACAACTATCTGAAATGTAATAAAAGGACTTTTTGAACCATGTGATATTCAGTTGCAAAGGCAGTTCTGAGGTACACATTAATGCTGTTTAATCTTTTTTTGAAATGTCTTTCTTGTCATCTATCACCTGAACTCCTTTTTATCTGTCCTACTACAAAAACAGTGAATGAAGCTTTATTTAAGACTATTATAATGCTTAATAGAGACTTGCTGTTTTGATAGCCCAAACAGTAAAATACTACTTACAAAAGTTACCCCTAATGCCTCCCCCTCAAGAAAACACTGTGATTGTTTATAATCCTTAGTAGATAAAGCTCTGGGATCAGACAGTAAAGTATTTGTACTTAACATGGTTTTTAGATTTTTAAAATATAATTACTACGAATCCCTTCTTAAATAGCACCTTTCTTGGAGCTCAACAGATTTACATATTAACGATTTAAAATATGCAATTCACTAAATTTAAAATAACTAGTTCAAGGATTATATAGTTTGGACACTCAAGACTGAAAAGGTGGGTTTGTAGCTGGACTCCAATCAGTCGCAATGAATTGTTATAAATATCTTTTACTGATATCATCAGGAAAAAAAAATCAGAAAGATTCCACTGTGCATAAAAGACATTCCAATTTCATCTTCTATCCTGCTCATTCTATGACAGAACACAATGCCAAATTATTATTTTATTAATCAAAAAGTATTATGTCAAGCATTGCTTTGCTCAGCAAGAAGCGTTAAGTAGTTGCTGGTAGCTTAGACACTACCTTGGTAACAGAGTTGAGGATATACTGATAAACATGAATGTACAAAAGACTCTAGAGACAACTATTATTAATTGTAATTCTGAATTTTTTTTCAAATGAGGCAAGTTTTGTGTTTGTTGGATGCTTAATATTTTATTGGGGATGAGAAATTACAGAATAAAAGGCCACATCACAAACATACAACATTCAAAATTCTAAATGTGTCCATATTCTTAGTGTTTAATTCTGTAAGCTATCAAATCTTGCAACTTTCTACTCTGTGGCAAAGTTAACACAAGCCAAGCTCAAATAATATTAACAGTAATGGCATAAAGCTACCTGATAAAATCTCATAAACATGCCATCACTTTAGTGATACATATGTAGAAAAGATGCGTTTACTTGCCATTTGAAACTCACAGATATGAGTTAGACAGTTCAAAGTTAAAAAAAAAAATTGAAAAAAACACCCGTGCACTGAACACTCAAATCTCTATGTCAGTAGCCAATAACAAACGACAAAAGAAAAACCCGGAAAAAAGAAAAAAAAAGAAAAACCTGTAAGTGAATGAATTGATAGTAACAACTTTTAGAATCCATCTAATTTAAAGACCAGCACAAGTGGTTTTAGTAAGGCTTTAAAAATTTTTTTAGAGAAAGTCAATAATACAACAGTGTTCCCCCACTCAAAACATCACCCTCCTGACTAATAGCAACAAAGAATTACAATCTGATCTCCCAAGGAATAGTTCTTGTCACTGTTGTATAATGTGTAACATCAATGCTGTATGACAGCAAGTCAAGCTCAATCAGTACATCAACTGAAAGATAACCTTGGGGGGAAAAAAAAACAACCCACAACTATTTTTATCAACAGCTAAGTAAAATGTATCTGGATAGAAAAAGTAATGACATAAGTTATGAATGAAAGATAATAAGATAACTATTTTAAAGCACAAATCACTATAAAAAGTGACTAAGATCTCAAGTTACTGGAACCCCACTTATGTGGGATTAAAAGCTGCTGCTGCAAGCTTCTGTTATAATGAAATCAGAAAATCTATGCAAGACTTCTACCTATTTGCTTCCTAAGTTACTTTAATCATGAGAAACATAAGCTTCTGTAACAGTGTATTCCAACAATCAGATATGCTCATTTCCAATTGGCTGACAACAGAAATTGGGGTGCCCAAGAGCAGGGTTTGCTGATTGTTGCAACACAAAAATGCATACATAAAATAGTTAAACACAGCACACAATATTACACCAAAGTGTTTTTCTCATTTCAAGTTTATTAAAACTTTAGCAGTACAAATTATCCAGGTTGCAGATTATCAAAAGATCAACTCAATAAAGTCCACATTTAAAAAAAAAAAAAGAAGAAAAAAGACAAAACACGAAACAACCCCAAAACAATGAAGAGGAAAACAACATAAAAGAGATTCAGCGGGCAAGTCTCTTAAAACTTAACGTTTGAGACAGAAAGGAAATAAGTTTACACAACTCACTCATCCACTTTTGTCTTCATCTGTTCCAGGGCTTGAATCATGATCAAATTTTTTATTTTTATCCTGCACTTGGTCATTTTCTTGACCCTTTGATTTTTGGTTTTCTTTTTCCACCGAGGATCTGGTCTTTTCATCCTCTACATTTTTCAATGTGGAGAACTTCAATTCATTGTCCTGACTTTGTTTTGCTTTTGAGAATGGACTTTGATCTCTATCAGCTTTTTTCCCCCTGTTATTGTTTGAGCTACTGTGATCACGATTTTTAGAGTACGTTCTTTTCTCACCTTCAGAATTTTCTCTTCTGTGTGAACTCTTACTTTCTTGGTTTCTGTACCTTTCTTTATTTCTGCTTTGACTTTCTTCTCTCTCTGAACTCCGTGAATCTCTTCTCCTCCTCCTTCTATCTTTACTTCTAGATCTTCCTGATGTTGCTCTTCTTTCACGACTCCTTGACCTTCCTCTTCGCCTGTACTCCTGCTCTCTGTATCTATGGTATTCCTTACTCCTGCTGCGATCTCGGTCATGGCTTCTAGATCGCACTCTTCTGCTCCTGTCCCTACTTCGACTTCGTTCCCTTGTTCTACTATTATAACTGTGTTTGCTTTTAGTTAAATCACGTTCTCTACTCCTAGATTGAGCGCGTCTATCCTTTTCCTTACTTTTGCTGTGATCATGCTCATTACTTTTTGATTCTAACTGTTTGGACTTCTCTTTACTTCTACTCCTTTCCTGCTCTTTTCCTTTGGAATCAGACTTTTCTTTTTCTTTCATGTTCTCATGATCCCTTTCTTTACTCCTTGACCTCCTCTTTTCTTCATGTCTATTATGCTTTGTATCTTTTTCCTTACTCTTTGATTTCTCTTTGCTCTTACTTCTACTTTTAGATTTGGCTCTTTTTTTCACCTTGTTTTTAGTATATTTATCATCTTTTTCTGAATTTCTTCTGATGTCTCTCTCTTTGCTGTTAGATTTATGATCTTTGACTTTCTTTTCCTTTTCACTTTTTCTGTTTGGGCTCTCAGACACCTGTCTGTGATCGGTTATTTTTTTCTCTTTGACTCTAACTGGGCTTCTTTGATTTTCTTTTACTTCATTTAACTCACTCCTAAAAAAAGAAAAAAAGATTTTTGAAAGTTTACTTGTGAGGAATGTGTCCATTAACAGAAAAAATAAAATCCAACTTAAGTGACTATAAAGATTTAATATACAGAAATTTTATATAAAGTACTTGTTACTACATCTGTAAGAAATAATTAAATAATTAAAGCTTACTTATCCCCTTTGATCCATCTTTCACCACTTGATACCCTCATTCTTTGAGCTCTCTGCATTTCTTGCCTCCAATGTGGAGGAGTTTCACTTCGTCTGAAACGATCCCTTGATCTGGATCTAGAAGGAGTTCGATAACGCTTGAGGGGGGAAAAAAAAACCATAAAAAACTATGACAATAGCTAAAGAGTATATATATCTAGGTTCAGAGAGAATGATTTTGTCCTCTAACAATTTAAGTAATATAGATATAATACCCCTATAAACCTCCAAGATCCAATTTGGAAGTATGCATTCTTCATATTTCAAAGCAACATTTCTCGGGGCTGGAGCGATAGCAGTGGTTAGGGCATTTGCCTTGCATGCGGCCGACCTGGGTTCGAATCCCAGCATCCTATATGGTTCCCTGAGCACTGCCAGAAGTGATTCCTGAGTGCAGAGCCAGGAATAATCCGTGAGCATCGCTGGGTGTGACCAAAAAGCAAAAAAAAAAAAAAAAAAAAAAAAAAAAAAGCAGCAATAGTTCTCATGTTATGAGGAAGACTAAGTAAACACAAATTCATTTACTCAATCCAGTATTTATTTAGCACTTTAGAAGGTGAACTACTTTACAATATACTGGAGAAACATTAGGAAGCTAAGACCTACTTAATTCTTTTCTTTTGACTTAAGATTCCACAGGGATAAGAGAACACAGAGAGGGGTTCACAATCACAGGTACTAAGCACAAAGTGTCTACAATCAAAAAGAAGGAAACAGAAATAAAAGGTGCTCAGAGACTAGGGAATAGATCTGATTTAATGTGAAAGAAAACAGAATTAAAGAATTTCTATGAACTACCTATGAAGGGTGAGAAATAGGAGGGGAAAAAAGGTAAGGATCAGATGGATAGACAAATAATCTAGGAAATAGCAAGATAAACAAGACAAAGAGAGGAAAAAACAAAATGACTCATGGGAGTTAGGTGGCATCTGTTCCCAAGACCAGAAACCAAAAATAGGATCAGGTCTGACATGGAATTTTTTATGATCAATACTATATAGAGAGTTTAAGGTGCCCATTAGGCAATAAAATAACTGCAAAGTACTGTATTTCACAGCATAAACACTGCACTTTGTTTAAAAGTAATACTGCAAACATATAAAAAGGCTTTATATAGTGGTCACACTTCAGCCAAAAAGTTTGAAAATCTATAAGAATTATGTGTAAGATGATGCAAGACTTTGGTGTCAAAGAGCAGAAAATATGTTATCATGGGGGTCAGAGAGATAGTGGGTATGGTATTTGCCTTGCATGTGGCTGACCAGAGCTTGATCCCCAGCATCCCATAAGGTTCTGCAGTCCACTGCCCACCAAAAGTCTAGAGTACTACTGAGTGTGGCCCAAAAACAAAACCAAAAAGTATTACCAGTATGCAAGTATAGAATGAGGTCATGAAAACAATGGGGCTGGCTATATACATATTAAGAAGAGTTTAAAAAAACCTGAGACAATAATTTAAAGGTCACTAGTGTAATTTAAAGGTAGAAGAATGAATTGGCACATGAAATTTAAAACAGAAGGGCAAGAAAGACAAGAAGAAAATTCAATGGAAGCAAAGGAGTATTATGTGTACTGTAAGCGAGAGATTAAGGAAGACAAAGACTAAAAAGATCCACTAGATTTTGTGTCTTGGAGCTGACCATATGGCAAGAGATATTTTCAGCAAAATGGTAGAAGCTAAAGTGGAATGACTGAGGACTGAGCAGGAAGTGAAGGATTAATTAATATACATATTAAAATATCTTAAGAATTTTTGAAACCTTAAAATCTGATGAAAATATGAAAAAGGAATCAAACAGATTCTTCAAGTTTGTGTTCTCTCTTGAACATGTACTTCTTTTTTTACCCTCATAAGTTATCCTAAATAAGTTGCAATAAAAACTATCTTGCAAAAAAAAGGGAGTAAAATATAAGAATAAAATTAATTCTCAATATTCTAAACAAGATAGAAAGTAGGAAGAGAGCACAAGAAAGCCCTTGTCTAGAGTGCATACTATGCATACAAAAGGGCCCAGGGGTCAATATCCAGATAGGTTCCCCTGAGCACACCAGGAGCAAGCTAGGAGCACTGAGCTGGGATTGCTGAAGAATGTGACAAACAAAACACACACATAACACACAAAACACACAAGCCCAACAAAACCACAAAAAGACCTTGATTTCATTTTACATGATGTTCACCCATAAATTTTCAAAGTACCGACATAGAGAAGTTACTATAAAAAATAAAGAACATGTAATTTTTTTTTCTTTTTGGGTCACACCCAGTGATGCACAGGGGTTACACTCCTGGCTCATGCACTCAGATATTACTCCTGGAGGTGCTCAGGGGACCATATGGGATGCTGGGAATCGAACCCGGATTGGCTGCAAGCAAGGCAAAGGCCCTACCTGCTGTACTACTGCTCCAGCCCCAAGAACATGTAATTCTATATCCATATCTACATTAAAATTTAGTTATGCACGGGGGTGAAGAATGGGCACTGGTGAAGGTACGGGTGTTTCATTGTATGACTGAGACTTAGACCCGAAAGCTTTGTATCTGCTCTCATGGTGATTCAATAAATAAAATTATAAAAAAAAAAATGGAAAAAAAATTTAGTTATACGCTAAGAAACATTCCAAAATTACTTCAGATAAATATAGCACTCTTCAGATACTCTGGGAAAAGAATCACCTACCCTTGGTCCTCTTCCTTTAATTTTCCTGCCAGACCTTGTAACTAAAAGTCGCCTCTGGTATGAAGCAGGCTGGGAGTTAGGTGGATTACTAAAAGGAAGCAAAGGTTAAATAAAAACAAATTATTTAATTAAAATACATCTGAAGAACCTACTTTTACTGAACTAACCTAAACATTTAAGAATATATAAAACCATTATTAAACTTTCACTGACTATATGGGCAACTGGTATTTATTGCTTACCAGTAAAGAATGCTAAAATCTTGCAATGTGTGAGAAAAACTATTTATTTCACCAATATGCCACTGTGTCCTCTTAAAAGGTACACAGGAACCCAAGGATGGCTCTCAGTAGTAAAAAGTGCCTGTCTTGCAGACATGAGGGTGTTAAGTTTGATACTCAGTGCTGCTGGTATTTGCCAAGTATGACTGTTCTTACAGCAATGCTGTCAGAAATCAGTGCTGCAAGTATATGATCGCCACAGCAATTAAAGAAGTGTCAGTACTGCAACAAGAGTATAACCCTCTGGCAAGTATGTGTCTGAGTACCACAACCATGCCCAGCCAGCACCAGAACTAAAAGAACACAAGCTCCTTAATTAAAGACTTTAAGACTCTAGTGAGAATGTGTGTAGTAGTTTGCAACTGAAGCTGAAGAGCTAGCTCAAAGGGCTGGTGTGCATACTTCGTATAAAGGAGGCTCTGGCTCAATCCCCAGCACTGCAGGGTGCCCTGAGCAACACCAGGGTCAACCCCAGAGCAATATGCCAGGAGCAGTCCTGAACAGCACTCAGTGCGGCCCTAAAATAAAGTGAAAAATAATATATGCATACAAATACCTCCAGTCAGCAAACAATATAAAAAGTTTAAGAGGGAACGAGTACTATTAAAATACACTTACACAATCATAACTAGATGAAATTAATTTGACAATGCTAAGGAAAATATTAACATAGAAGTGCCCAACATGGATTATATGCAGTACATGAAATAAATTTTAAGACAAAATATTATTAAAAACACCTTTTACATCCTATAGTTGGCGATAATAAATCTTTTTCACTGGTAAAAATATACAGTAATATGATGTCAGTTAGTAGAGACAAACTGATGCTATTAGCAAAATGTTTGTACAAAAAAGAGAAACTATTTATCCCCAATACTATGGTTCAATATTCAGTTAGGAGACTAACAATACACATGGTGATTGAACATACACAAATAATTCAGTAAGTTGACAGTCTCTTTTTTAGATGGTAGTTCTGTTCAATACTCATTTTTAAGGCAATTTTGTCTAAAATAAATTAAAAACTTTTTTTGTTTTACACTGCATTACACTAGGCTGTGCTCAAGGCATACCCCTGCCTGGCTCTGCACTCAGGGATCACTCTTAGTAGGCTCAGGAACCATATAAGGTGTCGGAGATAGAACACTATTGTCAGTTGCATGTAAGACAAGTGTCCTAACCAGCTCTATTATCACTCTAGCCCAAAATCTTTTGCTTTAAAGAAAGTCCTATGGTAAAGAGTTTTGGGAGTCTACATGATAGACATTCACTTACCACTCTCTTTCTCGCTCTCTTTCTCGGGTTTTCCTTTCTTTTTCATCAGCTTTAGGAGGACTTTTTCTCATTAGGAATCTATTTTCAGGTATAGGGGGAATCTCTTCTGGACGAACAGTAGACTGTGGCTGTGCTTCAGTATTTTCAGCCTCACTTTCACTAGATGCACTAATTTAAAAAAATCATTTGGTTATTAGCATCTACCACAAATTTCCACTAGTTGACATTTCTTTCCTTTATAAGAAATGTCACAAGTTATGAAAGCTTTATAACTCTATCTCACGGTGATTCAATTAAAAAAAAAGGTCACAAGATGTCCAGCATCCTGTTCCCCCTAAAGATGGTTAACGGAATACTCCTTCCTTTGATAAAATGACCAACCCAACACCAAACCTAAATATTTTCTGTGATCACAGTATCAAAAAACATTTTCCAACAAAATGTATTCAGAGGCTGAGGATGTAATTCAGTAGCAGAGCACACGTCTTGCATATATGAGGTCCTAGATTCAATACCTGACACCAAAATAAGTTAAAATATAAAATGAAATATGGCCAGAGAGAAATTTTATTTTATGGAGCTGGAGTGCATGCTTTGCACATTAGAACCTCAGGTTCATTTCTAGCACTGCTGGGGAGAACAGAATGAGTCAGGAGTAACTTCTTAGTATGAACAAGTGTTGAAGGAAGGAGAGAAGGAATGTAAAAGAGAAATAGGAGTTAGGGATTCAAAATATAAAATTGTGGCAATAAACCAGAAATTTTTAAATACTTTAAATACAGACCAAGAAATTTTTTTAGAGGCAATAAGTGGATACAGAGGTTTTAGCATAGATCTAAAAAAAAATTAAAAAGAAAGCAAATGTGCTGACTCATCTGCTCATATATTATTATGGCAGTAAAGGAAGTAAAGAACAAAAAAGACACGACTATAGAAGATAAGTAAAATCACTGCTGGTTTCCTATAAAACCAAACACATCATTTGAATACAGAAAAAATAAATGAAATGGTTCTGAAAAAACAGAAATACTGAAATTTAATCTATAAAGTATAGAACATAAAAAAAGGTGTTATACTTCATACAATGAAGTGTTTCTTAATATTTTAATTTTCTCAAATTATCAATAGATGTGTTTGTTAAATAGAATACAAAGCTTCTGACAAAATGACATGCCGATGGACCATGCATCAGGCTGTTTCATTCGGGATATCCCAGAGGGGGCAGGTGAGACCCCTCCCCTCCTTGAGTGACTCAGCCCTGGCAGCTGAAATCCTTCAGTACTCAAGCGCCACCATGCTCAGAGCCACTCTCCACATGCTCGGGCTAAGGCTCACCTATGAGTGAATCTGCAGAAAATCCAGGTATGCAGGACCCATGAGAGAAAACTCCGGGTTCAACGAAACCGGGAATGGGTGACCTCCTCCTCATGTTCCCCCACGTTTCTGACAACTCAGCAGTCATGCCCATAAACCACCTCAGGCTGACCATTAGTCTCATCAATGGCCATGATCCAGAGACTGTCTTTCTCTCTCGGAAGAGAGCATAAAACAATACATACCATACTACATCATTAGGGGCAGCCTGAGAGGGGTGGGTGAGGCACCTTCCCACCTCAAGGGACCCAAGGCAGCTGAAAACCTCCAGAACTCAACCCTAACCATGTTCAAGGCCAATCTCCACATGCTTGGGCCGAGTCTCACACATGAGTAAACCTATTCCTGGTGATCTATACCTCACACCACTATACTCCAAGGGTAGCACACCACATTAGATGGGGTTTAAAGTAGAAGGCAGGGGGTATGGTGCTACTAGCAGGTCAATCTGTACCTGTGAGGCGAGTGCATCAGCAGCCTGATGACGCCTTCAGACTTCCAGATACCCCCAAATTGCTGCTGTGCCTTTGGCCAGACCCCAAAAACTTGGGGCAAAGTTTACCAAGAAAGTAAACGGCCAAAAGTTAGGTATGTGGGAGACACACCCACAAACCACCTCCGGATCAGCTATGTAATTGGAGGCATGGCCTCTCTGGCTCCTGATCAAGCTGCTTAACGGCCTTGATCCCAGAGATTCAGAAACAAATCTCCAAACTCAGAGGCTTTTGGCAGAAATGTGTCCAGACCCTGCAGTAGGTTACAGTCACCGGATCACCCCAGGGGGAAAGGGTGTTGTCCCTCTGCCTGCTCCCCCTTGGCGGCTCGGTGGCCGTCCTCCTTCAGAGGCCATTGGACAGTCAGGTCTGGGCCCGCAGTGACGAGACATTTTGGGTCTCACTGGATGGGGGTGGAGCCAGCCCTTTCCTCCCTGCACCAACTGAAACCCCCGAGTTGCCACCCACAAACAGCCTCTCGGGCTCCTGATCAAGCTGCTAAACGTCCATGATCCAAGAGACTCAGGAACAAATCTTGGAATCCAGGTTTTGGCAGAAATCCCTTCAGATTCAACTGTTAAAATTTCGGAATTCCAAAATTGTGCAGCCACTACTGCAGCCGCGTGATATCGTATGTTATTCATAACCAGCAATAGAAAACAAATTATCAACTGTTGCTTTTTCGGCAGATCTGAGTGTTGGGGTAAAATCCCAAATAATAATGGTGGGGCTGGTGTCGAAATATTGAATGTAATTAAAGTAGAAAGAGTAATGTGAAAATCATTTGCCCCACAGGTAGGGGGAGGATGTGAGATGGAGGTATATACTGGGGTTCTTGGTGTTGGAAAATGGGCACTGGTGAAGGTACAAGTGTTCCATTGTTTGACCGAGACTTAAACCTGAAATCTTTGTAACTGCTCTCATGGTGATTCAATAAATAAAATTATTAAAAGGGGAAAAAATCAGCTAAAATATGTATCCCAATAGGACAAAGGCACAAAAATCTAAAATAATACTCTGTGAAAGACAAAAAATAAATAAAATTTAAAAAAAAGGAAAATTAAAGTAGAAGGCAATCAAACTTAGAGGGAAATATATTTTTACATACACACACACACACACACACACACACACAAGCACACAAGGTTCAACCTTTAACTACCTAATAGTAATCTTTTATAGAAGGGTCTAATGGCCCCTGGGTAAAATACAATAGTCTTCACACACTCTCTGCTAAGGGAAGTTTTTTGAGAGCTGTTTCAGTGGTTTATTCATAACTAATAATACAAAATAAAATTTTTTTAGCTTTGCTTTGGGGCAGGGTTTGGGGTTCGGGAGGAAACATCCAAAATATGATGGTAGGAAGGTGTAATGGTGGTGAGACTGGTGTTCGGATATTAAGTGTAATCAAATTTCGTGAACTACTTTATAAAATGAAATAAAAAGAAAAAAGTAAATGGAAAAAGAATACATAAGATATGGTCTCCAGAGAGAACTCTAATAAAATGAAAAAAAAAATACAAAGCTTCTATGCTTAAGGAAAATGAACACCTTTTCTTGCTTTTCTTTCGCTTCTTCTTTTCTTTCTTGTGTTTTCGGGAATTTTTCCTGTGCTTCTTTTTCCTCTTCTTTGATTTCTCTTCAGAAGCACTTTCAGAATCAGAAGAATCTGAAGAAGACTGAGAATCACTTGAACTATCTGAGTCACTGGACGATGATGAGGATGACGATGATGACTTATGCCTTTTTTTTTCTTCTTTCTTTGCTTTAATAAAAGATACAAATTGGTCTTGATCAATACTTTCACATAAACTTTAAAAGTGGAAATTTAGATTTTTCTGCAGATGCTCATTTAGTCTAAAAATAATTCATTCAGCTATTTGAACTGAGGGATACAAATCCCTAGGCTCGTGGATCAGAGGTATATTTATAAATAAAGAAAATTTAGGGAAGTAATCGCTAAGTTTAACATGGTAACAAGAATTAATTAAAAAAAAAAACTCATCTGGATAACAGTTCAAAACCACATGGGGGGGGGGGGGGGTTGGTTGGTAGTTTGAGCCACACAAGCAGTGCTCAGGGGTTACTCTGTACCCTGTACTTTGCACTCAGTAATCTACTCCTTGCAGAGCTTGAGGGACCATAACGGATGCTGGGGATCAAACTCAGGTCAGCCATGTGGAAGGAAAGCGTCCTACCTGCTATACTATCTCTCTGACCCCTAAAGATATCGTTTTGTTTTTTGGATCACACCAGCGATGGATAGGGGTTACTCCTGGCTAATGCAATCAGGAATTACTTCTGGCGGTGCTTGAGAATCAAATGGGATGCTAGGAATCAAACCCGGGTCGGCTGTGTGCAGGGCAAATGCCCTACCCATTGTGCTACTGCTCCAGCCCCTAAAAGTTACTTTTAAAAGTAATAATATTTAAGAGTTCCAGATTCTAATCTTTTAGTCTTTGACTTTTTCTCCAGTATGAAGACGATGTAGAACTAAAGGAAAGAAATAACAGAATATATGAAGCTGTCATTGTCACTGTCCTCCTGTTGTTCATTGATTTACTCGAGCAAGCCCAGTAACAGTGTGAGACTTGTTACTGTGTTTGGCATATTGAATACATCATGGGTAGCTTGCCAGGCTTTGCCGTGTGGGCAAGATACTCTCGGTAGCTTGCTGGGTCACAATTCCATTGGTATGAACTGATGCTTCAATACTTGGCATTCCTCTAATGATTAAGGAACATGGCTTTAGGAGTTGGACTTTATGCTGAAGAAACTTGCAACTCAAGTTTCTGCTAGGCAGACCTTTTTAAAGCCCCAAGAAAAAAGCCTATTCCCCCCAAAGGTCAAGGAAAAGGATGATTTGCAATGTCACAAGCAGTGACACCCACCCCACTCAAGCAAATATCAAGCGGGAAAAAAGTTTCACCTTTTCCTCATGACTACATCAGCAAAAACAAAGTAGAGAACTGAGATCTCCACTATTAAATCTCTCCAACACATCATCCTGTAACAGCAAGTATGCTTTCTTCCTTCCTATGTCAGTGAGATTAATGTCAGTGGAGAGAAAATGGGAATCCTGAGCTCTGACACAAAGTTCCATAATGTAAGAATTATACAGCAAATGCAAAAGAATCACCAAGGTTAACACCTCTTGGGTCATTTCTGATTGTATTTTAGATTATTTGATTTGCTCATCACTATGCAAAACTTTTCCCAAAGCTGTTCACTGGATTCAGGGAGGGTGTGGTATAATTCTACTAATTAGCTACTGATTTCTGATTTAATATTAAAATTGAAAAGCAAATGTAAGAACATCTCACTTGTAAAATATCTGAAGTGTTGCTAAGTTTTTCAGGATCTATAGATTTCTGTTGTAATTCCACATGACTCCTTAATACTGAAAGACATTTCAAGAGCATCTATATAAAGTTTGAAATAAATACTCTAACTATTCCAAATAATAGTTCTCCAGTTATTTTCACCTCTAACTAGTATCCCCTTTTAAATTTAAGTGCCTTTGTCATGTCTCTTAATTCAAGAATAAAAACACTGAACCTATTACAGAAATGAGTTGGTGGATTGTGTCTTCTCTACTGTATAGATGGCCCATTCTAATCAAAACTAATGTTTTGTGAGTAATGTTACCCACCATAAAATGCAAAATTTTTTCTCATATAACTGATTACTATCATATCCTGGCATTTGTATTCCTAAATACTGTTATACCAATGGCCCATCTTGCTACATGATTGTGGCATGGCATCTGTTATTTCTAAATACTGTTATACCAATGGTCCATCTTGCTACATGATCGTGGCAGAGACCTTCACTGAACTCTGCAAAGACCAGCAATGACCCCGATACCATGCCAACTCCTTAAAAAAAAAAGGTAGTGATTTCATTCTCTAATCTGAACACACATTATTGTATCCTTAACAGCCTATTTAGATAAGATGCAGCTCTGTATAGCCTCTAGTGCTCTACATCTATTAGACGATTCCTTTGCTGGACTGCAAGCCTTCTCAGGCAATTCAAATAGCAAACAAAAATGCACCCCCTCCCCAAAATAAAAACCACTAGATTTTTCTAATTTTGCAACAATAAAGGAAAGGCCCAAAAAGATTGCCCAGACTCACCAAGACAGGTGGGCCAGACAGTCAGATATCTTCAGAAGTCTTTTTTGTTTTCTTTTAGGATGTTAGAAAAGAAAAAGATTCTGTATTTATTTCTTTTTATTGGGGTGAAGTCTTTCAAGCAAGGTTTCAAATTCAGTGATGATGAACACCACAGTACCTCAAAGCTTTTTGACAATTCCCAATTTTTAATTTTTATAAGGAGGCAAACTTATAAACTAAAACATAGCTCTGCCTAAGAAATAATAGCACCATTGGTCGGAGCAATAGTGGGTAGGGCATCTGTCTTGCACCCTGCTGACTTGGGTTCCATCCTGGTCATCTTACATGGTCCACGGAGACCAGGAGTGATTCCTGAATGCTGAGCCAGGAGGAACTTAACCCTGAGCATTGTTGTGCTTGACGCCCCCCCACAAAAAATTAAAAATGAAAAAAAAAAATTGCACAGATTTATGATAAAATTCACTCTGACCGATTTCTGAATGATAGCTGTACAACTATAGGGTAGCATATTAACCTACATAATCTCAAACATTAAGAGTTTCTTCTCTTTCCACAGTGTGATCCACAACAGAGTAGGCACACAAAGTGCAGTACAAAACAAATTTGACCTTTTCAGAACTCCTGGGAAGACACTAAACAAGGACCAAACCCTTCCCAACTACTAAAACTTTTAAGGACAGGGTTGGCTTGTTAGCTTAGTATGTGAATATGAAGAACACACAATAAGATGCTGTGAAATTTCAGCACAACTTCCAGCCACAATGGCACAGGCAAAAGCTGCATTTTTCTCATTCAGGTAGAAATACATTATAAAGACATAAATTTTAATAAAAATAATAGCCATTAACTTCCTCATTCTTTTAGAAAACATTTAAGTACTGATGTTTTACTAGCAGAACAATTTTCAAACCAAATTTAATAATCATTTTTTTTATTTTATTATTTTTTTTAATCACAGTATCACATGTTTTATTGTTCTGCATGAAAAAAAATACCATCAGTGAATATAGACATATCTACTATCCAGCAAGAAACCTTTAACGCTACGTTTAAAGATCATGTGTACACTTTCCTGGCTTCATTCCCTCTGTGTTCCTTTCAGGTACCTGCTGACTTGTTTCTTTTTTTCCCCTTCATAGAAAGTTTACCCTCCCTCACTCCACCTTCCAAAACATACATATCCCTCAATTTTTTGTTGCTCTGTTAGTTTCTATTACTTGTCTGTTCTATTGCTTGTTAATAGTCTTCCTAGGCTACCCCAGATGTCAACTTTCTCTGTTTACCAGCTCTACAATGTACTTTCTTGTTCTCAAGGTCTTTGTTTCATTTATATCACTTTCTTCACACCTGTGTCACTCAGTACACGAAAATCAAGAAAATGCCCCCCCAAACATCTTGATTAACTATATTTTATTTATTAATAATCATTTTATGACTATTTATGGTTTGAAAATGCAAGCTTTGTCAGGCCAAAGAAATAATAATGGATAAGGTACTTGCCTTGCACAGAGCCAAGCCAGGTTTGAGCCCCACAACCACATCTGGTCCCCTGAGCCCCCCCACCCGCCTCAGTGATACCTGATTATAGAGCTAGGAGCAAGCCCTGAACAGAGATGTGTGTGGCTCCAATCCTACCCAGAAGCATTTTTACTGAACACATAAACCATGAAACATCCATAACTTTTAAAAAGAATAGATTTGGTGGAGGGATGGGTATTTGATCATTGTATAATCAAAACCCAAGCACAAAAAATTGTAAATCTACAACTGTACCTCATGGTGTTTCACTAATAAAATAAATAATAAAAAGAATAGATTAGAACAAGACTGCTGCTCCTGAAGACAGCAAAGTAAATGAGAAAGAAATACGTAGAGAATAAAAGATGAGGGCTGGAGCGATAGCACAGCGGTAGGGTGTTTGCCTTGAGTGCAGCCAGCCTGGCTGAGCCGGGTTCGATTCTTCTGCCCCTCTCAGAGAGGCCGGCAAGCTACCAAGAGTATCTCGCCTGCACGGCAAAGCCTGGCAAGCTACCTGTAACGTATTCAATATGCCAAACACAGTAACAACATGTCTCAAAATGGAGACGCTACTGTGCCCACTCGAGCAAATCGATGAACAACAGGAGGACAGTGACAGTGATTTCCCAGATGATGTGGGCAAAAGAATGCCTTCAACCAAAACATTTCTATTATACTAACAATACTCTGAAAACCTAAACCTACTTAACATTTAAGTACATATATGTAGTCTAAAATCTGCAAGCATTAATATAGACTATTTTCTATTAAAGAAAAAAGTATTCAATATTACATTCTTGACTTCATAAAAACAAAGCACACAACATAGCTATTATTATAAATAAGTAAAGATACTTAAACTCATGAACACCAAGAAATTTATGTAAATAGTCCTATCATGAGCAACCACTTACAAAATGTACATATCTAACGGGACAGAGAATAAAATAAATTCATGAGAATCAAGTGGGAAGCAATTATGGAAAACTTTAAAAAGAACCCTTCTCTAGGACCATCTTGGGTTTTAAAAAAAGCAAAAAAAAAAAAAATTTAACAAAGCAAAAATACGTATATTTCTCAATATTGTAGACCAAATCAGTATACTTAAAACTTGAATACAGGGGCTGGAGCGATGGTATAGCAATGATAGTACAGCAGTGATAGTATATGTATGTGGCAGACCTAGATTTGATCCCTGGCATCCCATATGGTTCTCTGAGCACTGCCAGGAGTGATCCCTGAGCAGAGAGCTGGGAATTACTCCTGAGCACTGCTGGGTATGGGAAAAAAAAAAAACATATAACTGTTTCAAAAAACAAAAATCAAACCCGAGAACAGAATGTTCTCCTTAGAGAAATTCCGAAAGGATTAAAGACATTTAAATGTCAATGATTTAGCTACACAAAGTGATAGAATCTCTAGACTGAAGCCAACCACAGGGTTGGAGGCCTAGTTCCTTGAAGAATTAAACAACCCCCTTTACTATCATTACCTATAATAAAGTGAAGGAAATAATATTTTAGGGTTAACCTGAGCATCAGAAATTACAGGTGACACTAATAATTTAACCTATTAGCTAAGGTTCAACACTATTACCTCAAGATTAGTAAAAATAGAAAGGGGCCAGAGTCATAGTACAGTGGGTAAGGTGTTTGCCCTGCACTCAGCCGACCCAGGTTGATTCCCGGCACTCTATGTGCTCCTTCAACCCCACCAGGAATGATCCTGGAGCTCAGAGTTAGGACTAAACCCTAAGCACTGCCTGATGGTGACTCAACCCCCATTCCCACAACAATAAAAATAGAAAAAAAGAGTTTGTTATTGCTTTCTAAACAATTTTGAAGATAATCTTACCCACTACTTTTAAATTACCAGACCCAATGTATTTACTAAATGCTACCAGTTACATATCTCAAGGGAGACAGTATGGGAGCTAAAGGATTCTGTCTTAAATGGCACCACCTGTTCTATTACTGGCACAACACATGGTCTCCCAACACTGCCAGGTGTTCCTTTGTGAGAACAGAATAAATAAGAGCCTTGCGGCCATGAGCACTACCAGGTGAGGCTTCTAAACCACACCCACAAAAGATTTAAATATTTACTTAAAATTGTTTCAGATAAAAAAAATTGTTTCAGATAATAATCTTCTAAAAGTTTTAGTTATGTTAACTTCAAATTTTCTGGTATAAGTTTCTCATACTTGACATGCTTCTGAATCTAAAGTATGTATGAAAAAAATTAACTCATTTCCCTAAAGTTTCTATTATTTTTATATCTTCCCTCCAATGCCTGTTTCCCTATCAGAGTATCTATTTGCTGAGCTAAATAGACAACTCCAGTTTCAAAAACAATAACAAGAATACAGAAGGATCAATTAATAAAGAAAAAAAAAGCAATTCTATGGTAAAGTACAAAAATCCCATAAATATTGGGGGTAGATATATAGTATAGGGGTAAGGTGCTTGTCTTGCTTGGGATGGATACCAGTTCAATCCTTTATTGCCTACCATGCCCTGAGCAACACCAGGAGTGATCCCTGAGCACAGATCCAGAATAAGCTCTGAGCATACTAAGTATGATCCCCAAACCAAATCAAACAAACCTCCTGAAAGAAGTCCCCTCAGTCACAACCTCATATCCATATTTTTATTAGTGTGGACTACAAGCCAACTATTTAGTATATGACTGTGCTTATTTTTTAGATAAAAATTATGAGAAATATATACTTGCCCTTACCTTTAGATTTGGGAATTAGCTCTCCACAACTGAGTATCCGCACTTCAGCAAATGGCTTGCTAGCTGCATCTGTTTTCTGATTTTCAATCTCTCTTACAACTTCTTGACCAGAAATCACTTGTCCAAAAACAACATGATGCCTAGAGTCAAGAGAAAGTTATTAAATAAAAGCTTCTTGATTAATTGCACATTAATTTTAAATGGGGCATAAAATAAATAAAATAATCTTTACCCGTCTAAATGAGGAGTTGGTTTCGTTGTTCTTTCGAAAGTCATCAGATAGAAGAATAAAAACAAAGTCAGAGAAAAACAAAGTTAGCATCTCTAAAAAGGAAAAAAAAATAACTGCATTGGAAACAAGGTTGCAAACAAATCATGTTATCTTAACATAACAGTATCTGAATTTTAAGTAGAACAGAATTTAAGATGTTTTCCTTGTATGATGTGTTTTGAAAAAGGAATTCTGGGGCTGGACAGTACAGGAAGTACGGTACTTACCTTGCACTCAGTGGACCAAAGTTTCATCCCTGGCACTGTATATGTTCCCTCAAGCACTGCCAAGAGTGACCCCTCAGCACAGATGCAAAAGTAAGCAGAGAGCACAGCCTCATGCGGCACAAACAATAATCCCCCTCAGCCCGCAAATAAATGGAGAAAAGCCTATTCTGATTGTGAAATACCAACTCATAACTGAAAACTTAGATAAAATTCAAGATGAAATTTTTGGTGTTATTTCTATCCACCCGTGTTTCTTCGATATTCATTGGTTATATATAAACTGCATGGACATTAAGACTTACTGGATTACCCCACCAGTTAATAAGTTTAACAATAGGGCATTACTGTGTGTGTTTGTTTGGAGGGTCCACACCCACTGGCGTTCAGGGCTTACTCCTGGCATATGCTCAGGGATCACTCTTGGCAGTGTTCAGGGGACTATGTGTGGTGTTGGGGATTGAAAGCGGTCGGCAACATGAAAGGTGGGCGTCCTACCCACCGTACTTATTGTTCAAGTCCCAACAATAAGATTTTTTTCAAATTAACAATTTATACAGCAAAAGTGCAGGTCTTTTGATGAGCTTCAAACATTTCTTAAAAGCTCACCAGAAATTATATATAGTTTATAAATATTAAAATCAGCTGCCAACATTTAAATTTTTGAATACTTCTAGATTTTAGACCTTTCTAGAAACCAAGATGTGGCACATGGCAATGAAAGGTCAAGAGAAGGATCGGTATCTCCATCTCCCCTTTACTACAGGGATTGATTCTTTAGGTATTTTTGTCCTAGCAGACTTATTTGCTTACAAGATAGCATCGATTTTTAGTTTGTGAGTCCTGACATAAACTTTACATTTAAGAGAAAGATGTGTACTAAGCCTAGATAATAAAAATTTATTTTGGTTAAAGCCTACACAATACTGGAAAAAATTCTAACACACAAGTACATATATTTTTTCACATCAATGTGCTTCTTAAAACATTCACCTGACTTTAATAGCCTATTATTGCTGCCTTAATATTGCAGTTAAGCTCATAAGAACTTTCTAAAATCAACTATGTGAGTTTACAAACACACACTTATCATTTGCAACTGGCTGGTCCTCAGGCACAGAACATTCAGACAATGGACTAATGTGTAGTTATCAAAATATTATTGACACGAAAAAGAAGACTATGGTGTATATGTAACTTTTATTGCACAAAGATACTGGGGGTGGATTTTTTTCCTGTATTCTAATTTTTCTACAACAAAACACGCAACAAATTTTTCATTTAAAAACTCAAAGACCTATATAATGGCCATTGGTGAAATAAAAGCCTATATATGTACACACACACACACACACACACACACACACACACACACACACTAGAGTATTCTATAGCTGCAAGAAAGTATAAGAAAGATTGCCGTTAGCTGCAAGAGTATAATTTCCAGAACGCAATGCTAATTGTAAAGAGCAAAATTTATATGATAGTATGTAAGAAAGGAAAAATTTGTGATTATGTTTGAAAAAACAAATACAAGAAGATAAATCAGATACTCAAGAAGTTACTTATATGGATGGACAGGAATGGGTTAAAAAAACTTATCAGAACAGAGTCAAGAGTCAGGCTGGAGTATAGCACAGCGGGTAGGGCGTTTGTTTTTCTTGCACACTGCTAACCCAGGTTCGATTCCCCAGCATCCCATATGGTCCCCTGAGCACCACCAGGAGTAATTCTGGAGAGCAGAGCTAGGAGTAACCCCTGTGCATCGCCGGATGTGACCCAAAAACCAAAAAAAAAAAAAAAAAAAAAAGAGTTAGGCTGGAGTGGCTCTTCAAGAGTACAAGTGCATTCTCTTTTATATGACTTGTGGAATCATGTTTTTTAAAAAATGTATTTTTTACTGAATCACCCAGAGATAGACCATTACAAAGCTGTCCATGATTAGGTTTCAATCATACAACGTTTTAACACGCATCCCTCCACCGGTGAACATTTCACACCACCAATATCCCCAGCTTCCCTCCCACCAGTGCCCCCATAACCCTCACCAGCCTCATTCCCACTTTCCTTTCCACTCTCTTCTCCCGTCCCTTTTTTTGGGGTGTGTACAATAAAGTATTAAGTTGTCATCATGTTTATTCAGGGAGTTCGGTATTTCTGGCAGGAAGGTACAGCTGGAGTTGCCTTTCCAACAGGATGGCAGTTTTGGGGTATGGATGTGACTGCCAGGGCTTCCTGAAGTACAGGGAGGTAGGAGGAGGTAGCCCATTGCAACTCCGATAAAGCGAGGTGTGCCTAACCCTCCTCCTACCAAAGTAAAGTAAAGTAAAGTAAAGTAAAGGCCCTCCCGTTGATCATCGATTTGCTCGAGCGGGCCCAGTAACGTCTCCATTGGAGACTTTGTTGTTACTGTGTCTGGCATATCGAATACTCTCGGTAGCTTGCCGGGCTCTCCGAGAGGGGAGGAGGAATCGAACTCGGGTCGGCCATGTTGGCTGCGTGCAAGGCAAACGCCCTACCCGCTGTGCTATTGCTCCAGCCATTTTTAAGTTTTCTTTCATTGAAGCATTACACACAGCCACAGAGATGCTAAGAGTATTGAAAGAGAAAGAAATTAATCATGAAACAGCATATTTCTTCCATTAATGGAACAGACTTTTATAGGTACTCTGCATTAAGATCTCTTCCTGATTTGTTGTTGTGTCAACTAGCATGGTTATAGTTTAATAAAGGCCCTCCCGTTGATCGTCGATTTGCTCGAGCGGGCCCAGTAACGTCTCCATTGGAGACTTTGTTGTTACTGTGTCTGGCATATCGAATACGTCACGGGGAGCTTGCCAGGCTCTGCCGTGCGGGTGAGATACTCTCGGTAGCTTGCCGGGCTCTCAGAGAGGGGTGGAGGAATCGAACTCTGGTCGGCCATGTTGGCTGCTTGCAAGGCAAACGCCCTACCCGCTGTGCTATCGGGCGTTTGCCTTGCACGCAGCCAACATGGTCGACCTCCTACCAAAATAAACAAAAATTCAAAAACAAAGTAAGAGGGAAAACAAAATGAAATAAAGCCAGCAACAAATGATCCTAATGTATTCTGCCTCACAGACCACACAAATATAAATGGTAAATTCTAGTCAGTAGATCACTTTTCAGTGGTAGAAGATGGTAATTTTTCATCCTATGATTCCAACAAAGTGGGAGTGCTTGGGAAGAAAATGTGAGTCAGGTTTCCTACTACTAAAGAAGTAAAAACGCAGATCAGAAAAGCACTAGAATAGCCTACATGGCATCAACAAGATAAGTTCTTGGGAGACCAAGAAAGTTTAAAGCTATTGAAAAAGGAAAGCAAATTTGCTCTTATAATAAAAAACAAAGTGGCAGGCTATAAAATAAATACCCAAAAATCCATGGCTTTCCTATATGCAAATAGTGAAAGAGAAGAAAGTGACATGAAGAAAACAATCCCATTCACAATCGTGCCCCAGAAAATCAAGTACCTAGGAATCAGCTTAACTAAGGAAGGAAAAGACCTGTACAAAGAAAACTATAAAACGCTACTTCAGGAAATAAAAGAGGACACGAGGAAATGGAAAAATATCCCCTGCTCATGGATAGGGAGAATTAACATTGTCAAAATGGCAATACTTCCCAAAGCACTGTACAAATTCAATGCGATCCCTATAAGGATACCCATGACATTCTTCAAAGAATTGGAGCAAATACTCCTGAAATTTATATGGAACAATAAGCCACCACGAATAGCTAAAGCAATTCTTGGGAAAAAGAAAATGGGAGGAATCAACCTCCCTAACTTCAAGCTCTACTACAAAGTAGTAATACTTAAAACAGCATGGTACTGGAACAAAGGCAGAACTGTAGACCAATGGAACAGCGTTGAATATACTGACATCTCCTCCCAAGCATATGATCATCTAATCTTCGATAAGGGGGCAAGAAAAGTGAAGTGGAGCAGGGAAAGCCTCTTTAATAAATTTTGCTGGCAAAACTGGACGGCTACATGAAAAAAAAAAAAGGCTCAGATGTCTGCCTAACACCATGTACAAAAGTAAGATCAAAATAGATTAAAGACCTCAACATCAGACCATAATCCATAAGGTACACTGAAGACAAAGTTGGCAAAACCCTCCATGACATTGAAGCTAATGGTGTCTTCAAAGATGTCACACCGCTGGCCAAGCAAGTAAAAACAGAGATAGACAAATGGGACTATCTAAAACTAAGAAGCTTCTGCACCTCAAAAGAAACAGTGACCAAAATACAAAGACAGTCTACAGAATGGGAAAGGATATTTGCCAAATACACATCCGACAAGGGGTTGATATCAAGGATATACAAGGTACTAGTTGAACTCCATAAGAAAACACCCAACCCCATCAAAAAATGGGGCAAGGAAATGAACAGAAAATTTCGCAAAGAAGAAATCTGAATGGCTAAAAGGCACATGAGAAAATGCTCCACATCATTAATCATCAGGGAGATGCAGATCAAACCAACAATGAGATATCATTTCACACCACAGAGACTGGCCCACATCCACAAGAACAAAAGCAACCAGTGCTGGCGTGGATGTGGCGAGAAAGGGACCCTCCTTCACTGCTGGTGGGAATGCCGACTGGTTCAGCCCTTTTGGAAAACAGTATGGACCATTCTCAAGAAATTAGAAATTGAGCTCCCATTTGACCCAGCAATACCTCTCCTGGGAATACATCCCAGAGAGGCAAAAAAGTATAGTCGAAGTGACATCTGCACTTGTTTGTTTATTGCAGCACTCTTTATGATAGCCAGAATCTGGAAAAAAACTGAGTGCCTGAGAACAGATGACTGGTTAAAGAAACTCTGGTACATTTACACAATGGAGTACTATGTAGCTGTTAGAAAAGATGAAGTCATGAAATTTACATACAAGTGGTACTACATGGAAAGTATCATGCTAAGCAAAATGAGTCAGAAAGAGAGGGATAGACACAGAAAGATTGCATTCATCTGGGGAACATAAAGTAACAAAATGGGAGACTAACAACCAGGAGTGACCGAGATTAGTACCAGGAATTTTGCTCCATGACTTGGAGGCCAGCCACACATGCTAGGGGAAAAGGAAGCTCAGATAGAGAAGGGAACACCAAATAAAGGGTGTGGGGAGGACCCTCTCAGGATGGGAGAAGCATGCTGAAAGTAGACTATAGACCAAATATGATTGCCATTCAATGCCTCTCTTGCAAACCACAGGATCCAAAAGGAGAGATAGAGAACAAAGGGGAATGCCCTGTCACAGAGGCAGGGTGGGATGGGGGAAGGGGGGGGGGGAAGTGCTGGGACTTGCGGTGGTGGAGGATGGGCACCAGTGGAGGGATGGGTACTTGATCATTGTATAACTGAAACCCAAGCACAAAAATTTGTAAGTCTATAACTGTACCTCATGGTGTTTCAGTAAAAAAAAAAACAAAACCCAAAACAAAAAAAAACACATACACTGTTAAGCTGGGAATTATCTCAAAAGGCTGCAGTGCAGGCTTTATATCAGCCCTTGAGTACCACCAGGTGCAGTCCAAAACCTTCAAAAAATAAAACTAGGAGCCGGAGCGATAGCACATCGGGTAGGACGTTTGCCTTGCACGTGGCTGACCCAGGTTCAATCCCCAGCATCCCATATAGTCCCCAAGCACTGTCAGGAGTAATTCCTGAGTGCAGAGTCAGGAGTGACCTCTGAGCATTGCTGGGTATGACCCAAAAGGGGTAAAAAAAAAAAAAACAGGCAAAAAAAACTCCTCCCTGTAATTTGTACCTAGAGATCAGAGGCACATGACTCTAGTTTAGTATCTGGCACCACATGGTTCTGTAACACCTAATAATCATGGAGGCCCCCTAAGTATTGCTAGGTATGGCCCTTGGTGGTCCCAAAGCACCAAAGCCAGGGGACATAGCCTCAGGCCCTAGGTCCTAGGATTGAACCATCCTACCCAATTGGCTGAGTTATAGCTGGGAGTCACCTGGACCCTTGGGCACTGTCTCAAAGAGTTTTCCCCTCCCCTCCATCAGATACATATACATATACACATACACATGTATATGTATATATATATGACAAAAGCCTTGGTCACATCTTTTGTAATCAGAACTTGAAAATATTGGCACTATTAACATTGATTTCATAAAAATTTTAGTGAATAAGTAAATTTATAAATTCATAGTCTGCGAACGATTTCACTATACTTTGTACTTAAATATTTTTGGAGATAATCTATGTAAACATCCTGTTTCCTAAAGAAACGTGTTCCTTACATTTACTACAGAGGCAGAAAATAGAGAACACAGGGGTGAAGGCACTTGCTCTGCATGCAATTGGTCCTGGCTCACTCCCCAGTACCACATATCCTGAGCACCACCGAGAATGACCCTGGAGCACAGAGCCAGGAGAAGACTTAGTACTGCCAGGGTGTGCCCCCACGTTATTTGCTACCCACAGATGACGTTTCCCGGATTTAATTATTACTGTGATGACTGCAAAATGGTGACTTTAATTCCATTTAGATTAGCTGCAAGGAAAGCTTTACTTCTTGTCATTCATTTCTATATGGACTAAATGTATTTTAAAGATTTTTTTTTTCTTCCTTTGGTGGTTTTTGGGTCACACAAAATTGTGCTAAGAACTACTCCTGGCTCTGTGCTGGGAGGACTATTTAGCGCCAGGGATTCGAACCTGGGTCTCTTGCATGAAATATATGAGCTTAGTCCACTGAGCAATCTTGCTTGCTTTTACAATGTTGGCTTTTTTGATACTCTACTACTGTATTTATTTTGATGCTCACTCTCTCCTGACTCAGAATTTAGAACCTCACACTACCCTGTGTCCTCTTAACAAGTGTTCATCACTTAATACTTAGCAGCGCAGTTTAATACCTTTTTTACAATTTCCCACTCATCCGCAATCTTTTGTTTTCGCTTCTTCAAATACTGTCTCCTATGTCCATTGCCTATTTTTTAAGTAATCAATGGCAGACATAGAAAACAGTAAATTATCAGATCACAAATACTTACATGAAGAACTGTGAGCCATTTGTATCCTTCCCTCTGTTGGCCATTGACAAGAGAAATTCTTTGTTGTGTTTAACAGCAAAACTCTCATCTATAGAGAAGCAAAGTTTTAAGCTACATTAGCTATAATTCCCGAAAAAATGCCATTTTCACTCCTCTTCATATCTTGTGTTCATATTCTGTTTAGTGCCAGACAAAATTTAGATAAAAATCAGGTTACGAGAAAAGAATTAAATATTAACCAGTAGTCTTTATCTTTTTAGCTTCTCTTATGCGAAGCATTAATACCAGTCCCCTTTCTTCCCTGTTTCTCCTTAGGTATTTGAAAAACAACAACAACAACAACAACAACAAAAAACGCTTTTTTTGGGGGGTCACACCCGGTGATGTACAGGGGTTACTCCTGGTGGTGCACAGGGGACCATATGGGATGCTGGGAATTGAACCTGGGTCAGCCGTGTGCAAGGCAAAAGCCCTAACAGCTGTGCTATCTCTCCAGCCCCTGCAATTTTCCTTCTTTAAACAAAAATAATTGAACTTTTCTTTAGGAAAAGAAAGTAAACAGAGCTAGACATCTGACTCAATGTCTAGTACATGCAAGGTCCTAGTTTTGGTACCAGCTCTCACAGCCCTACCTCCTAGCACTACAGGGAGGTCCAAGATCCCCAAACACTGCTTGAAATATCCCAAATAAAAGTACAGAAAAATCCAAATAGGTTCTTTTAGTTTTGTATAATTATCTATTATTCTGAGCAAAGACAGTCAGTCATTAACTTTCCCTGTGTCTGTCACAGTACCATTTATTACTAAGAAAGCAACTTGTCCCCCTCCCATTCACCTTTTTTTTTCTAGGATGAAAACTAGGCAAGGGGAAATCAAAATAAAACTGTAACAAAACTTGGATGTAAAGTATGAAAACTACTGAATTATTTTCATGTTACATCTTTCAAGTGGCCAATCAAAAAAACTATAGAAAGAAAAATTACAGAAGATGGGTGTGTTCTAGGGCCACACCTGGCAGTGTTCAGGAACTACTTGTGGTTCTCTGACCACAGGTAAGGCAAGCATCTTAACATCCTATATTATCTCTTCAACTGGAGAGAAAATCTTAGGAAAAAAACCAAACATTTAGCATACATAGGGGAAAAAATTTAATAATCATAGAAAAGTCAGGATGGTAGTTGCTCAGTGGTACAGCTCTTCCCCTACATGGACGAGGCCCTAAATTTAATCCCTGCCATCCTACTCTCCCAAAACAATCCTGAAGAAAAAAAGGACCCACTGAAAATATGAAGTTATAAAACATACCTCAAATTCCCATATAAAGCAATGTACATTTTTATTCTAGCACTACAACTGCTGAGAGTGTATTAAAGATTTATCTCGTGATACCTGTAGACCAGGTATTCACGGACTAAGACAAAAAGAAAACATTATCTTTAATATTTAATATTTCTTGGGTTTCCTAAGAAATTCTCAGGGGACCCAGGAGCCACTCAGGTATACTCAACCACCAGGGCCACACTCAGCAGTGTGGGTGTGGGAGGGTATGTAGGGGGCTGCATACACGGGTATGGTGTAGTGCTAGACTCAGGTCAAAGTGCACACAAAGCATGAACCCTGGCAACTGAACGATATCCCTGGCCCCAATATATTAGTTTTAAAAATCTAATACTATAAAATGAGGATACTCATTTTCTGGGTAATAATTAAAGATTTGTTCTGATATCCTTAAGTAATATTTATTGTAATGAACACAACCTTCCAGCTGATAATAAAAAATTCTTGCAAAAATGTAAACATCTATTATCTTCCACTTGAATGCAACTATCCCCAAGAGACTTGAACATATTTATCTATTTCTTGGCATAAAAATATTTGTGCGACTCCCTTAAAGATCTCTTGACAAAGCTAAAAAAAGCATATATGCAAAATTAACCATCATTCATTCCTCATAGAACAAAGTCTTTTCAAGGAGATTTTCACTCTCGAAGAAACTGCTTTACTGCCCTCAGTTTGACATGGTATGAAGGAACTATCCTAACAAATGCCTCCCTTTTTCTAACATGTTATCTGGAGTTCACACTCTTACACAGTATTATGAATAGTTTGAAATTTTATAGTTTGATTACAAATTTAATTTTTTGATCTTCACCACAAAATTCATGACAATAATTAGTTTATTTGAAAGTTTCTTCGCAGCTAGGTGCTCCCAGTGGATCACACAGAGAATAGATACAATTTCTGGATGATCATATACTTTTGCTTTCACAATCACACCTGGACAATGTTCAGTCCTGATTGCAGCATCAGACATATACATTTCAAATACTCATCAAGAACACTAAAAAATCAATGCTAATGGCTCATTCAGGTAAGTTAGGGTAGCAAAAAATTCTTCCGAGATCTTTATCCTCATGAAGAAAAGTAGAAAAGCATGATTATTTACATCAGTTGGCCTGTCAAGTGGAACAAAATATCTTCATCTAGTGCCTCTACATCTTATTCTTCTTTATCACAGTGGCCCAGTCAATAATTTTCTTCATGGTGCAGTCCCAAGTGATCTAGCCTACAATTTGTAGCAGCCTGAGGATCAAAATTTCCTGGGTAACATTTAAGATAAAGGCCACCAACAGTAAACATTTTGTTGGTTTTAGATATCCAAAAAGCAACTAAATAAGACACCTGAAGCACAAACTTACTGCTAGTTGTCATGTCTGTTAGACTTCTCTATCTTCTGTGCAATCTTTCTCCAAAATGGAGTGACCTATATATCTGTGAGATCACTATGCTTTGAACACAAGTAATAATCAAATTTGGAAGGATTTAAAACATCAATTAGGGGCTGGAGAGATAGCACAGCGAGCGGGTAAGGCATTTGCCTTGCACGCGCCCAACTCGGGTTCGATTCCCTGCATCCCATATGGTCCCCTGAGCACTGCCAGGGGTGACCCAAAAAGCAAAAAATAAATAAATAAATAAAACATCAATTAATAGAATTTTGGGACATATTACATACTAGGGAGTGACAATAATCACTGCAGAACTACAATTAAACCACGCTTTAGGTACTCACTGTTGGTGTCTAACAAATTTGTTTCCTTTTTTTTGTTCGTTTTCTGTCAAACATTCTGAACTATCAACACACACATTTCTTTGTCCCTGTTTCTTTAGAACTTAAGCAGCAGAAATTAAAAAAAAAAATTATCACTACTTTTCTCTTAACATTGTGTGTTCTTTTTTGGGGGCTTAGAGAGTGGGGTTTCATACCTGCTGATGCTCAGGTACAACTTCAGGTCTGTACTCAGGGGTCCTGACAACGTGTGAGACCACGGGGTGCTAAGAATTGAACTAGGATGGGCTGCATGCACGGCACATGCCTTCACCCCTGTACTATCCCTCTAGTCCTTATTTATTCCTTTTTGGTTTTTTGGGTTGCACCAGTCTATATTCTTACTCCTGGCTCTGTGTTCAAGGATCACTCCTGGAAGGCTCGGGGGACCATATGAGGTGCTGGGGATCGAACATAGGCCAGCCGCGTGCAAGGCAAGTGCCATACTCACGGTGGCCCTATAGTTCTTGATTTTGCTTTTAAAGTTTAAAAGTTACTACTCTTTGATTTTTTGTTTTTGTGGGGAAAAGGAAATGGTGCTACATTTTATAGTGTAGTGACACAAAATAATTTGATTCCCAATATACCAAACACAGGGTTAAGCAAACAACATACATAAGTACAGCGAGTTTAAGAGTTTTCAGGGATAGAGGGTGCATAAAATGCCAACTAAGACATGTTGTCTACAGGTAAGTTGACATTATGCACACTGACAAAACAATGTACGTATATACACCAATACTTATAACCTCTCCTTGAGTAGAGCTATCCTGCTCTACTTTGCTACATGATCCATATGCACTAGTTGCAAAAACATTTTTGGAACTGCAAAGAAGTTTCTGCAGACTAGCAACTGAAAACCATTGCTAAGTATCACTGAAATCTTTCAAATAATGCTATATACAAATGTTCAAAAGACAGAAAACCCCTACCTTGAGAAAGATCTATCATGTAGATACTTCACAAGAAAATTAACCTCTATATTCAGTGCATAGCTGGCTTCTCGTATTCTGTTCAATAAATAACCCTACTGATTCATCAAAGATCAAACTAGCAAGACATTAAAAATAATTTAAATGTAAACATTTTACCTTCAAAAAATCCTCCATAAATAGATTCCCCTCCTCTTCCATTTCCTAAAAATGAAAAATATGTACTCTTAAGACAGTAATATACTTGAGGGTACCACCTATAAAAAATTCCTAAAAAGCAGGTGCAAAATTATTGTAGAATTCTCTTTAATATTTCTTTGCATTTAATTTGCTGGGTGAGGGTTCCCTTTAACTGTTGTTTGTCTAAAAAGCTTTTTAAATCACTCTTAATAAATGGTATTTATAAAAAATAAATTTAAAATATCTGCACAATAAAAAAAAAGTAGGTGCGTGGATGACTTTGAATCAACAGCAGCCAAAGATTTACAGCAAATCATAAAAAATATTAAAGACAATACTGACATGATCCCAAATCACTAATTCTCTCCTCTGAGATACTGGTAAGAAAGTTTCAGAAGCTATTAAAGCGTGGCTAAGAAGGTCTTTCATCAGAAATTACCATTTTTTAAAATGTCTTTAAAAATAGTCTGCTTTTAGACCCCGGCAGCTTGGAGCAGAAAAGTGAACGGACTATGCGTTAATCCAGGCCATCAGGTCTGTCCGGAGGGGAAAGGGTGTAGCCCCAGTCGCCTTCTCCTCTCTGGAAAGAAAGATGGCGGCCGCATGGGAGCCTTGTGGACAGCAGGTATGAGCCGGGGGACTGGGGGCGACTAAAACCTCATGGGAAGGGGGGCCTTCCGGTCCGTCCTTCACGTCCTACGAAGGTCACCAGTTGCCCCCCCATGAGCGGCTCCCCAGCACGGCCACAGCCCCAGAAGCACAAGGACTTAATGCAGAAACCAGCAGCTTGGAGCAGAAAAGTGAAAGGACTATGCGTTAATCCAGGCCATCAGGTCTGTCCGGAGGGGAAAGGGTGTTGCCCCATTCGCCCTCTCCTCTCTGGAAAGAAAGATGGCGGCCGCATGGGAGCCTTGTGGACAGCAAGTATGAGCCGGGGGGTGTGGGGGCGACTAAAACCTCATGGGAAGGGGGGCGTTTCGGTCTGCCCTTCACGCCCTACCGAGGCCACCAGTTGCCCCCCACTAGCGGCTCTCCAGCACGGCCACGACTCCAGAGCACAGAAACCAATTTCTTAACTATCTGACTTTCAGTAGAAATACTTCCAGGGTCAATAAGTAAAATAGCAGAAATCCAAAACCAACATATAATTCTTGAACCCAGCTGTAGAAAGCAAATCACTTCACAATGCTTTGTCAGCATGTCTGATTTGGGGGGGGGGGGGGCGGTAAACTCTAAATAAATAGTGGTGAATCTTTTATTGAAACAATGAATCTAATCAAAGCAAAAAAAAAAATAAATAAAATAGTCTGCTTTTACAATAATCATAGGTAAACATTACATAATTACCAGGTATGACCAAATCAAGTACATATATTAAAAGGCTACTAAGAAATTACTATGCTGTTGTATAATTTGATCAAAAAGATTTGCCTAATGTTATTCAAAAAGAACATTAAAAACATAATTTTCTCAGTCTTACCTTCACTGAAGTCACCACCTTGGACCATAAAATCCTTAACAACTCTGTGAAAGAGGCAACTCTTATAATGTAATGGTTTTTGAGTTGATTTTCCTGTTCCCTTTTCACCTATACAGAAGGAAAATTTGTGGGCCATTTAGCAAGAATAAAATGAAGGAAGTAGTATAAAGCAAAATTAATGGAGACTACTGTCCTTATAAGACATACCTCTCTTGAAATACACACACACACACACACACACACACACACACACACACTTTAAACTACAGAATTTTCACTGTCATAGTTTTTAATTCATTTTTAAAAATAACCCATGCTTTCCTGGAGAGTATACAAGTCAATTTCAGATAAAATCCCATTACAACTAATATTTCTAAAAACCATTTCATCCTGTAGTTAATGACTCATAATCTGCATGTTAACATGCATGGAGAAATCTAAAATATGTTAAATCAAAAGTAAAAGCAATCTATAATCAAATGGGCAGCTGAAAATGTCAACTAACCTGTACAGAGACAACGAAAGTTCTCGCATGTTTTTGGACACACATCAGAAAATAGCTCAAAGACAACTCTTCCAGCTGAAAAAGACAGGAGTTGGTTTAAACATATTTACTTATTTAAAATATTAAATATTGGTTTATAAATGTTAAATAGGAACAGTGATTTTCTTACCAGGTTGATTATTAATGGCGATGTCAAAAAAACAGCGAGGACGCTGCACTTTTATTCCCATGACTCCAAAATTTCCAGTCTATGAGTAAAATACAGTTTCAGGCAACCAGACTAAAAAGGCAAAGATGTTTTATAAATCTCTGTAAAATATACGCTAGAAATTTAGCTTCATTATATATACATATACACATGTATGTATGTATATGTAGTCTCTCAATGACATAAATCACACAGGGGTTTTATTTAATTTTTGCATTGCCACAGGTGTAATCGAGGTCATCATAAATATTATATGAGGCATATGTACTATCACTGTTCCTCTAGTCCAGTATTTTCTTTTAGATAACAGCTTATATTTTGTGGGTAAAATAGAAGTCAATAGAAGGGCTTAGGGCTGAGGAGACAGTTCAAAAGACTGAGTGCATAAAAAAAAAAAGACTGAGCGCATGGCTTGCAAGTGGGAAGCCTGGGTTTCAATCCCTGGCACATGAGTATCACTTATGGCAGCCCTTGTGCAAAAATGGTAATAGACCCTAGTAGCCACAAGTCTGAGAGAGAGAGAAAGAGAGAGAGAGAGAGAATAAAAAGTCTAGTAATTTGCCAATCAAATCTAGATTACTCTAGCATACAATACGATATTAAGTTTATGTGATTAGTGAACAGGCAAATTACCTTCAAATAGAGGGGGAAAAAAAAAATAAAACAAGGGCAAACAGATCCAATCCTCCCCTTTCTAGAAAATAGAAATTTTGATTAGTGTTTTAAAAAGATTCAAATTCCTAAATGCACAAAACAAACCATCAATAAAAAAGTGGGATCTTTAACAACAGTAACATTGTAGAATTACATATGGAGTAAAAACATAACATTATTTACATACAAGGTTTCTCCAGGGCTCAAAAATTGTCTCCTTCAAGCAAAGCATGAGCTCCAGTCCTTAGAGTGGCTTCCCAAGCCCTTGAGGCTACTTTTTGATCATGAGCCATAGCCATACTTGTTATGTTAGTGTAGCACCATATATTACTAGTACTGAGATACTGTTAACAGTTTTGTTTACATAAAAGATAGCTAATATTTAACATTCTTTTAATAAGGGCTGGAGTGATAGCACAGCAGGGTAAGGCATTTGCCTTGCACGTGGCAGTCCTGGGTCTGATTTCTCCGTCCCTCTTGGAGAGCCTGGCAAGCTCCCTGTGGCATATTTGATATACCAAAAACAGTAATAAGTCTCACAATGAAGACGTTACTGGTGCCAGCTCAAGCAAACTGATGACCAACGGGAGGACAGCGCTACAGTGCAGTGCTCAGAAGGTGTTTAATTTTTTTGAAAGTTTAAACATTCTTAATGTTTAAAATTAAAGTTTAAATTATAACGGTCACTGTCACTGTCCTCCAGTTGTTCATCGATTTGCTCAAGTGGGCGCCAGTAACGTCTCACGGGTAGCTTGCCAGGCTTTGCTGTGCGGGTGAGATACTCTCGGAAATGATAAAAGTGAGAAAGCAGGCTGAACAGTTGGGAATATGGCTCAGATGGTAAGCATATGATTTGCACGTATAATGCCCTGAGTTTAGTTTTCAGTACTGCGTGTGTAGGAGCACTGCCAGGTGTGGTTCTTTTTTTTTTGCTTTTTGGGTCACACCCGGCAATGCACAGGGGTTACTCCTGGCTCTGCGCTCAGGAATTACCCCTGGCGGTGCTCAGGGGACCATATGGGATGCTGGGAATCGAACCCGGATAGGCCACATGCATGGCAAACGCCCTACCCGCTGTGGTTCTTAAAACCAAAAAAAGAAGACACAACAACAAAAATTTCTAAAACAGCAAGCAAATAACAAATGTGAAAGTTACATCTGCTCATAAGAGACTAAAATGTAAATGTTTTTCTGAAATTTAGATATTTGTGAAAATCTAAATTTCAAACAGTATACGTATAACTAGGTATATCGAGCTCTGAAAGATCTCTATGATTTACGGAAGGGTTCCTTCCCTTATCAATTTTGTGTTTGTTTTTAGGCCACTCTTGGTGACGCTCAGGGGACCATATGGGATGCCAAGTATTGAACCTGGGTTGGCTGCATGCAAGGTAAGAGCCTACCCGCTATACTATCTTTCCAGCTCCCCATTATCAATTATTATTAGTAGAAAAATTTTATTCAGACGGCCAGAGTGACAGTACAGTGGATAGGGCATTTGCCTTACACAGGGTCGACCCATGTATGACCTCAAAGGATCCCCTGAACACCAGCAGGAGTAATTCCTGAGCTAGGAATAACCCTTAAGCACTGCCCGCTGTGCCCCCCCTCCCCTGCAAGAGAAAAAAGCAAAATTTTATTCACAGGCAGTTGTAAAAATAAATTTGGACTTTATTCAGTTACCAATACTAATTTTATACAAAATGACTTTAATAGCACACTTGAATCATAAAAACCTAACAGTATTGATGCAATCCACTTATTCTATTTACATGCTCAGTTTTACTTGTACTCATCTCTATTTCCACACAATTAAATCATCTACAGGTTCATGTGTCTACCACCGTAACATATCAATTTTCATATACCCCACAAATCACAAGTCAGAACACTCAAAACAAATGCTCAAACTGCCCATAATTTATATGTATTGCTTCATCTCTTCAGTGTTAATCAACTTTAACACCTACACATGTGAATTAAAGATTAAATTATATATAGATCATGTTGCCTTCAAATTTTTCCCCACTCGCCATTTAAGTGCATTAACAGTTATGATCCAGAGACACACAAGTGAATCTTGGAAGAGAGCAGCATGCTGCAGATATGCCTTCGGACCCCAATTATTTAAAATTTTAGAATTCCAGGAACACATGGCTGTGACATCTCATACTATTCATAACAAGCAATACAAAATAAATTATTAGCATCTGCCTGTGGGACGACTTGAGTGGTAGTGGGAAAATTCTAAATAATGGTGGTGTGAAGGTATAATGGTGGTGGGACTAGTGTTGAAATATTGAATGTAATCAATTATTGTGAATAACTTTAAGAAAATAAAATTGTGGGGCTGGAGCGATAGCACAGTGGGTAGGGTGTTTGCCTTGCATGCAGCCGACCCGGGTTCAATTCCCAGCATCCCATATGGTCCCTCGAGCACTGCCAGGAGTAATTCCTGAGTGCAGAGCCAGGAATAACCCCTGTGCATCGCCGGGTGTGACCCAAAAAGAAAAAAAAAAAGAAAAGAAAATTAAAAAATTTGAAAAAACTTGCAGGTAAACAAAAAACAAAAACAAATCTAGCCCCAATATTGGTATGCTCATTGTTGCATGGAAAAGGAGTGTGTGTGTGTGGGGGGGGGGGGGGGGGGGGAGGGATGACAGCATTGTCTCATAACTTCTCTATTTTGTATTTCTAAACAATATAACTAGTGTAATAATGGCTTTATTTCCCGGAAACAAAGCAAAATTAATTATCGATCCTCTAGAATATAGGTACAAGTTTCCTTAAAATAACAAAATACTAGCAACCTCGATACCCTGCCATATTTGTCACATCATGAGTTAGTTACTTTATTACATGGTTGTAAGGTGAAACACTTTTTTTTCATCACAAATTAAAGGTTTATGGCAACCCTCCATCAAACAGTGTACAAGGACGCATATACTCTCACCATTTCAATTAAACACTGTACTAGAATTTCTAACCATTGAACCAAAACAATAAAGATCTAGAATGAAGGGGAAAAAACAACAATTTCACAGAAAACTGTGTACAAAATAAGTCTCTCATTTTATAAGGGAATTTAGCAAAATTACAGTTATTTCATAAACAGGCAAACTGATTTTTTTTATCAATTGACAATACGGTGTGGCAACGCTGCTTCTGGTATGTCTATCTGCAAATTTTCAACTGCATGTGTTCAATCACATCTCCATCATATTTTTATAATTCACATAATTCACATATTTCAAAACTTTTTATTAAATGATAAAATGAGACTAGACTGTATTATATTATGGGGATCTGTGACACGTGATCTTTGAAGTCAGTGACCAAATTTGGGTGCTATTGGGGCTGGAGAGATAGCACAGCGGGTAGGGCGTTTGCCTTGCACGCGGCCAACCCGGGTTCGATTCCCAGCATCCCATATGGTCCCCTGAGCACCGCCAGGAGTAACTCCTGAGTGCAGAGCCAGGAGTAACCCTTGTGCATCGCCAGGTGTGACCCAAAAAGAAAAAAATAAATTGGGTGCTATGAACATTTATACACAATAAAGATTTTCATCAATATTTTGACTGCCCTATCAGTCCATTATTCCCTTAATTTCCTTCCCCCTACTAAGGCCCTCCTATTCCTTGTGACTTATTCAGAAACTTACAACGGCGTCTAACATCTCAAATAAAGGAAGAATCACACAACTCTCACTTTAAATTAGAAGCTAGAAATAATTAAGCTTACTAAGGAAGCATGTGGAAAGGCAGGCTGCAAACTAGACCTCTTAGCCACTAAGCAGTAAGTCAAGTTGTGAATGCAGAAAGTTCTTGAAGAAAAAGGGCTACTCCAATGAGTATACAATAACTTAAAAATAAAAAAGCTTTGGGGCCAGAAGTGATAATCACTAGTATCCCATATGGTCCCCCAGCTCCACCAGGAGTGCAGAGGCAGGAGTAACCCCTGAGCATGGGGGGGGATGGGAATGGGATGTAGTCATCCCCCCATCACCCAATAAAAGCTTTACTACCAATACAGATAAAGTTTTAGCTGTCTGAAGAGATCAAACCAACCTAACCTTCCATTTCCTTCCCTTCAGCAAAACCTAATTCAGGACAAGGACTTCCTTGTTTTTCATTCCACAAAGGCTGAGAAGTGAGGAAAAAAGGTTTAAAAAGTAGCAGAGACTGGGGCCAAAGAGGTAACACAACAGGTAAGGCATCTGGGCAATCATAGACATCCTTTACCACCCACAACTCTCCCCCTCCCCCCACCGCCCAATCGGAGCAATATCTGAGTGCAAAGACAGGAATAAAATAAGCCCTGAGTACAGATGGGTGGCCCACCCCTCCCCCTAAAAAAACACAAGGGCATAAGAGCATAAAAGATTTATATGAGATTTGTAAGAAGTGTGCAAGGTTAAA